ATATTTAATGTATGTAGTTTTTTTACAGGCATTAGGTAATTGAGAATATATTTAGAAATGTTTATCATTGAATATAGATTTTGAAATACATGTCAGGCATGTGAGAGAGACATAAATACAAAACAATGACTTAAAGAAGTTATTCATTTCGTTGTATTTACCCGAACGTCATCGAAAATATTATTTCCTCTGCTATTCGGAAATTTCTACTGAATTAGATTTACAAATTACTGGAATATACGTCGAGTCACATCATAGAGATAGTGATCTGCGTAGAACTTGGTAAGCGCCACTTAATCCTTCGCTCACTAGCTCAAAAGGAAAGACACAAGTTTCCCCAGGATTTGATACTACGCCGACTATCCTGCTACTCCTCCCTCGTCCTCAATAACGCTCCAAGGAAATTTCGTTCGCTAGCTTCTTTTCATAAATGTCGATTTAATGGCAGCAGGCTTCTTTTGCTTTACTTTAAAGTATAAGTTTGTCCCGTGGCAGAACGCCTTTTCTGGCGCTGCCCTTCACGGCCGCCCCTCCGACGTTCTATTCCTGTACACTTTCTCGATCCGCCGGCCAAGTCGTGGGCCTTCAGGCTTCCGCGACTGCCGCACGAGAGCAACAAACAACTTTCCGGGAGCCGGAAAGTTGCGGCGCTCGCGGTTTCGGCAAAGCTGCCGGACGTCCGTAACTGCGTCCCCGACCCTTCGACCGATTTAATTCTATTCAGATGGCGAGGAATAGAATTCATGTCGTGGTCGGTGTGGTGTGTGTGCGAGGAGGAGTTGCGCATTTGCGGCAGGTGCTCGATCAGCGAAAGGTCTGTCAGCGAACCCTAGCCGCAAGCTTTTGACCTGAAGTCGGAGAACTTTCCGCAGACGTGTCAGGGAAGCATACATGGAAAAGGGAGGACGGAGAAGAGTTGCGAGAAGCGCAGTAGCTGCAGAGGAACGATGAGACCGGATTGCGTCACATCATAATTGCAAACTAACATTGATTGATTCGGCACATTGCATGAGTTGCGATTGTAAACCCTCCTTCGAGCGTTTGCGGGTCCCCTCGGGGCCCTCCACGAGTCGTGGAGGGCTCCGATTCCAAGGACCTTGGAATCGGCGTGCCTGGCAAGGAGGTGCAGATTTGCGGATACAGCAGCAGAGCTGTTTCTGGTGGCAAGATTGATGATGCGGTGAGGTTGGAACTGGTGAACAGTCTGTCTGATAACCACCACGAACTCAGCATGCTTTTTCTGTATGCATGTTCATTCATTCTAGCTTTGCAAAATTTAATTTAAACAAATCATCCAGTCCGCCATGTACTTTAGAAAGTCAAAACACCAAAAGGTGATGAAGATTCGAGAGAGGTTTTTAGTTTCCACTATAGAGTTCCAGAAAATCTCTTCTTCAGCATTGCCCACTTCAGAAAATGGCACACGGTCAACTAGAGTTACATATGAGTCCGCACAACTTTGGATAGTACTGTATGAAGTGGATTCGGCTGCTGGACTATGAATGGTTCCTAGATTCTTTTTCATCGCCATGCATCTCCGAGCCCCATGTGACTCAAGGTGGTACAGTTATTTGTACATTGGAATCTCGAGGGTGTTGTCCGGAAAACTATATTCTCGATGTCACAACGACACATGTTTCGAAATTAAATTATATCGAACTCAGAAGCTTCATAGCGCTGTCTGTCATTATTCCCACATGGTGAACAAAGTTTTACTCAGAGCTTGTCGCCGCATTCCAGAAGAACAAACATCAGGCCGTCAGTTATGATGTAGAGTTGCTGGTGGAACACAGTTTGGAGATGTTACGTGTTTCATAGCATTCTAAATAATCACCCCCAAAATCATACTTGTGCTATTCTATGCGATTCTGCTTGATTTTCACTATTCCCGTAACCCAGCAGCTTGATAATACTCACGCGTAGGAGAGAGGAGAGGCTTCTTCATGATTCCTTTGGAAGCAGCCTCATAAGCGTTCAGCCTCTTGGAGGATGGTTGTACTCGGTCGCACCAATCTCCATAAACAAAATTCTCAGTTTCATTGTGAGAAAGTGGCTGGTATTCTTGCGTTCAAACTGATAAAAGTGTATATACCAGTTTCTAATGTCAAAGTTATTCTTGTGGGTCCATGGAATAAACCAAAGATATAATGAAGCTTCTCATCTAAGTTGAATATTTCAACTTAGATGAGGGTCGGCTTGAAATGTGTGTTAAAGGAAGATAAAGCGGTGGCGTGAACGGTTGGTTGGACTCTACAGTTGAGTCATTGTATGGTGCGTTGTACTTGTTCAGTATGTTCCCATGATAAAGATTAAAAGTATCCAGCCGAGCACTTGTTCAGTATGTTCCCATAATAAAGATTAAAAGTATCCAGCCGAGCATTTCACTTTGTTCTGCGGAATGAACTGGAGGTTCTAAGTTCCACCTGTGGGTCCCTGGAATAAGCCGAAGATATAAGGAAACTTTTGCGTTGGAATATTCAACGGAGATCAGGTCAGAGCTAAAGTGATTTTGTTAAACTCTCCAGTTTACGCATTGTACTGCGCGTAAGACTTGTTTGGCAAGATACCACAATACAATCAAAAATATGTTCCGAGAATAGTGTCCAATGTGTATCGTTCCATTTAGAAACCCGATTATCTAATATCACAGCAACTGTTAACAATTATAAACAAGCCAGCCAAGATGCTGCTTCTGGAACATACTTGACTTGGCTGTTTGAAAAAGCAAAAGACATTTGCGTACAAGTGAAGATTGCTTTTGAAGATACAACCTGTAGCATTCTGCATGATCGCTACATACTGTCATGGCATAAGTTGGAGAAGATCTTATGTATCTGTGAGCAGATCGTGTCTTGATTCTTATGAAGTGGACGGTGGGTTACATCATGTCACCCACCATCCACATGTAACCTACATGTGGATGAGTACTCCACACTTAACATCAACGACCCTCTACTTTTCTCTACCACAATAAAATCAAAAGTATCCAACCAAGCATCTTCACTTTCTACTGTGGAGCGAACAGGAGTAAGTTGAATACAAGTGGGGAGTAAGAAATAATGTAGTGAACAATTTCCGGTTGGATTCTTGACAAATTTAAAATATATATAAATTCTAAAGCACTGAGGCATAAAAAATTATATTGTGCATTTTTTAAAAGATCTTGCACTAAGAGTCAATGTCAACTATTGTTGCAGGATAGGTGTGTAGTCATCGGAGTGAATGCAAGACACTTTTATGTGTAAGCTGGTATGGGAAAAATGATCCCTAGGGTAAAGTAAACAATTCCTACAAGTACACCAATGGACTACTTCGGCAGAATTCACCAATATAGAGAATTCCCAACAAAAGAATCAATTATCATAGTTGAAAAAAAACATGTCACGTAAAGTAAGATGACATATTTTGATCTAATATTTGGTTGCATTCTAACTTTAGCGAGAGACTAAATCATTGTTCGAGGTTATAATTTGATTCTTTCAACAACCTTTGATCTTTTCAGAGTTTGTTCAACTTAAATGTATCATGCATCATCAAGATTTTTGTGTGTAGCCATGTAAGTAAAAGTCTGAAAAAATTACTTACAATGTTAATATCACCTCCTTGTTTCAGCTTCAGTTATAAAGTTGGAACAAGTAAACATGTAACCATCCACTAATTATCTCATTTGTGTAGTTGTACTATTTGAGAATTATTCAGTTGCATTAATCTAGATGATGCATCTAAATGACTGTCCAAGAATCAAAAAATTAAAAATAACTAAAACAGCTGAAGAATTTCAGAGTCAAAATCTCTAAAGCTGTGAATAAACTTTATATAAATTGTAAAACTGTAACTTTCATTGAATAATGTCTTGTCAGAATCAAATTATTACACATTGTTTATGACTGAACATTTTCAGATTTGAGGTATCATCAAATAAAGATGCTAAACATGCAACACATATTATAGAAAGGTATGAAATCACAATTTTAAATTTTGTAACTTAAAATTCATGTGAATTTGCTTTACACATAAGAGAGAGTACGAAAGACATGAATTAATACTTTTGCGTTTCAACCATTTGATCAATTGAACAATGTGCTTTCATCTTTTTATCTCACATGTTTGGAATTATGATATGAGCATACGAGTGCAAAAGTTGCAGAAATACTTGTTTCATTTGAGTCAATATTTCAGGTATTGCAGTTTCCATGTAAGTTTGTCTTACCCTTTAGACTTCAAACGAGATGTTCATCTGGAGTTTTGAATCATTGTTCTCTAAAATTTAGCATATGAGGTATTTTTCATCTCATCAAAACAACAAAGTTTTTCTTCACTTGCAAGCAGAGTGGAAGAACGTAAATTCTTGAGAGGATTTATGTTGACCTTAGCAAGTACCATGCTGGTTCTGTCGTGTTCTAAACGACGTGATAAACAAGCAGGACTGCTCTTAGCTCGGACGAAATCTGATTTTATTTTAATGTTTGAGGTTGGAAGACCTCCAGACACTGGTGTTAGAACTGTGCATGCCTGACAGTCGAGGTAGAAGAACAATCATACCAGCAGTTGAAGACCGCGAGTCCTCGTGTACTCTGTACCCATGACATTATGATTAGAAAAATGATTTCCCACAAAGTTGATCAGTTTCTGAACCTACGATATATGCAGAGTAATGTAGACTACTGTACCGATCGTCAAAGCAAGAAAAACGCGCAAGAGACTTTACACACCAAGCTGACAACCCATGTGCCTCTCAGTTGTACGAATACAACCACTTGCTTGAATAGATCAAAGATTCTTTTAATCTCTGTGCTCAGCGTGACGACATCGACTGTATCAGCACACTGATGCATTCACTGAATCTTCACGTTCACTTGCACAACAAAGTCAAGATTTACTCTGACCTTCTCAGAACATTTTCCAATCACTCCGAGTATGGAGGAACACGCGTGTTGTGTTAGTATTGTCTTGACCTCGATCATCCAGACAATATAATGAGAGGATCTGATGAGTAAGCTGCAAATTTCTACTCGCTACGCTTCGGAGGGTCTGTGTTCCCGTGGGTGTTGATGCAGCTAGATTCGCATTCTTCCAGTCCGATTGTACATGGAGTTTTCCACAAGGTAGAGTACTTCCCATCTGAGATATCTGCGTTTCCATGCTTTCTTTGACATTCTGCATGCACATCGCACCATCGATACGAACCAGTTTTTTGGATTTCAGATTCACTTGCAGAGCTTTTAGCTTGTCCACTCAGTTGGGTCACCAGAGCTAATCAAACAACTCTTTTGGATTTCAGATTCACCTGCAGAGCTTTTAGCTTGTCCACTGAGTTGGGTCACCAGTGCTAATCAAACAGCTCTCTCCGTTAAACTTCACAAAAGGTTTGTTTCCCGAGAGATTTAAAGTCCCCATTGCACACTCTCTACAATTTGCTTTGGAACCGGAATATTGGTTATCTGCTTTGATTTTGATTCACATCTCTTGTATTGCCCAGCACTGAGTGCGAGCAGCGTCTTACTTCTAGTTTGCACAATATCCCTACGTTCATGGTGATTGCTCCTGATCCGAATCGTTGCAGAGGTAAGATTAATCTTATTTTTCTCTTCATGCAGGTCGCAAGAAGTGTCATGCCCAGCGGGCACAAGTTTTGACACTGCGACGGGAAGTTAATTCTCTTCGGGTGAGCCGATCCGAAGGATTGAGGAGGGGCTCCTGTAGCCCAGGTGACATTTCGCTCGCGTATTCCAAGCAGCAAACGTTTCTTAATCTCTTTGAGAGGAGGAGAGAATGGAAGGTGCAGGTGCGTCCATCTTCAGTCACGCTGCTGAACTGGCGACACGGGAAATGGACTCCGCACACGAGGAACCGGAGCTTCCCTCCGCCATCCAGGACCTTGTACAGCGTCTGGAAGGACAAGGCGACCCTATAACGCAGCTTCCCGATTTAACCAAGCCAGAATTTCGGGAGTTCTTTCCCTATAGTGAATCATCGATTTTCATGGATTCATCATCATGGATTCGCTCGACAATCATAGGGTGGCGAAGCCAAGTGCGTCTTCGAGTGCTGGAGGCAATCGGCAGCTGCAACACCCTTGAGATTCTGGACGTGGGCAAGATTTGTGGGGCATATATATCAGGGTTGACGCCAAGCGAGTGGGAGGTAGTTCTCAGAGGTTTCAGGTCTAGCACCGTTCTTAAAAAGATAATCGTTGGTTGGTTGTTCGCTTCAGATGATGCGGATAAGGAGAGCTTGTGTTTCCAGCTGGGGAGAATTCTGAATTCCTCTAGCGTAACAGAGTTAGCAGTGCGTGCCAGATTGAGTGCCAGATATCTCTCGAATCTCGCCTCAGGTCTGCGAGGACGTTCCGATTCTAAACTCAAGTCTTTAGATTTATGGGAAGCGTGGGAGGACTCGAGTGGGGTGAAGTATGTGGCTGACATGATCAATAGTGCTCCTCTATTAGAAACGTTGCGTTTAGGCGGCTATTGGGAGGACATGGAGGACGAGACCCTTGGAATCCTGTCCCAGGCTTTGATCCAGAGCTTGGCTTTGAAAGAATTTACCTTAGACGACGCGGGGAAGTGGGCATGGCCCTTGTTGCTGAAAGCATTGGCCGGAGACGATCGCAACCGATCCATTGAACGTCTTCGGCTAAAGGTTATGGATGGACTCGGAGACTGTTTAAGGGAACTTCTTATTTCCAACCCATCATTGAAGGAAGTGGAGCTCCACCCACTTGTCATGGAGCCTGAGCAAGCGCACCAGCTCGGCGAAGCCATACGTGACAATGCCATATCGACAACTATCCTTCTTCCTGCGACAGTTAGCTTGGATGACTTCAAGTCAATAGAAGCTCTTGCTCTTGCTGCTAGCTCCGAAATCAACGACCCCACTCTGGAGGTTACACTCGTTCCTATGAGAGAAGATGAAGTGATGTTATCATTAAACCTATTAGATAGGGTACTGCGCGGGGAAATTACATCTCTGAAATCTCTGAGTATATTAGATCGCTTAGGTCTCTCTTCCAACCAAGATAGAGGGAAAGGTATTCTGTCGATGAACGGAAGAACTGGAGAAACTTGCGTCCTGAAGAGACTCGGATTAAGACGTCTAAGCGAAGATGTTTGGGAGGGAGTATGGAAGGACCTGCTTTTGTGCCTGCGAGGGAACACAAGTCTCACTCACTTGGATTTGAGTGAGACCTGGCTGGACGACGAGACGTTCAGGGACATGATGGGGCTACTCCAACAGAACTTGAGTCTCCAGGAAATAAATGTCTCAGAAACCTCATGGGCTATAGACGGAAAGGCGGCGCTGATTCAAGAGGCACTCAAGCAGAACGAGAAGCGGGCCGCCTACATGTCCGTATTTAGAGAAGCCGGATTAGCATTTGGAGATGCAAAAGCCGGTCGACTCTTTCTATGCGGCTCTCCTCTAGCAGGTAACGTGCTCAGTAACCTCTCACCTTTTTGAACTAGCAATCTAAGGTTTTACTTCTCCAAAATTTATCCTATAGTAAAAAAAGTTCATTTTTCTCTCTACACATATTTGGAATAGTTTAAAAAGTTTCAAAGAATTGAAGAACAATTATTTTACCATCCTAATTAATTGAGATTATAAATAATATCTATTCAATCATTTCAAATTTTGATTTGATATTCAAATTTTTTACCAATACTCTTTATCCATTTGAAATAATAGTATCAAGTAATCTGTAAAAATATCTCAAGTTATATTTGTTGTGATTATTTGTACTCAATTTGCAGGCAAGACTCAATTGCGTCAAACCTTGATGAGGATAGTTGAAGGCAAAAGTTGGCTTGGAATCAAATGGAACAAGTTGTTTAGAACTAAAGGTATCGAAGTGGAGTACTTGCAAAACAACGACAAAAGGCAAATTTCAATCTGGGATCTTGCGGGGCAAGAGATTTTTCGTACCCTTCAAACTGTGCTCTTTCCTCAATCCAACAATTTTTGTGTTTTTTTATTTGTGTATAGCTCTTTTTGTGAGAACTCATCTTCTAAGAAAAAAGACTCTTGTTTTCGGACAGAGTTGGAGGAATGGATGAGTTTTATCACATCCAGCTCTAGGGTCACGGGACATAATCGTCCGCAAGTTCTTGTTGTGATTTCACACAAGGACAAAATGAAATCCAGCTCTTTGACTTGGGCTCACTCAATAGTGAAAGATGTCAACCAAAGATTTGCAAAATTTGTGGATCTTCATCCAATTCAAGAGTGTTTTCATGTGGATGCGAGAAAAAAGAAGCAAGTTATAGATCTCAAAGATTATATTTTTGAGATTTTTGACAAGTTGTTGAGTGAAAAATCCCCACGGGTTCCCCAATTGTGTTCCCGACTCTCTTCCCTCTTGGCTACAAACATCAAGGAGAACAGAAGTTGCCCTATTTGGTTACCTCAAAAGTTTAATAACTTCTGTGACCCCATCTTGACAGAGTTCATTTCATCCTCTTCAGCTTTTGCCATTGATCATTCAAGGATATTAAATTCTATAGTATCTTATTTGAATGACGTTGGGTCCATAGTTTATATTCCAACCCTTAGTTACATCATTGTAGATCCAAACTGGCTCACTAATACATTATTGGGTGAGCTGGTAGCTCTAGGTCAAAAATTTCATGCTCAAGAGCATGAAAGTAAGTCGCATTTCTCATACTCCAGCAAGGACGGATTTGTGAGCGAGAGTGTCTTTGTTGGATTGATAGAGGAGTTTCTGGAAAAGATACCGCATGGACAGAAAGGTGTGGACAGAGATGTGATTGAGAACATCCTTATCCATTTAGATTTGTGTTTCAAGGTGGAAGATACTTCTAAGTTTTATTTCATTCCCTCCTTCATACCTGAGCATGCAAGCACTGAAGTACAGAAGCCTCAAGAATTGGTGGACGTGAAGCCGAAGGCTTGGAAACGTAGGGTTGAGACTTCAAAGTTTGTCGGCATCCGGATTCAATGCCAAGATGGAAAAACAATGTCACTGACCGCTGCTTTTTTTCCACGCTTTGAGGTGATTTTAAAGATAGTGTTAGAAAATTGAATGCGTTGAGTTCTAATTGTAACTTGTGTTTGATGAATGGAGTGTTCTCTTTTCATTAGTAGAATTTAATTTTTGGCATGCGCAGCTTAACATTTACCAAATTCTGTATCATTGTAGATGTTCATGAGACGCAAGTTGATATGCGAGATGCATATTTCCAAGGAGACTGTGACGTGCTCTCGTCATTATATGAAACTTTACCTAGATGGGCACGAGATATATCTGGAGCAAGAAACGTCCCGCAATTACTTGGATGTTTTGATGTTATGCTCGGATCATAAATCAAGGGAGGCGGCGATTAAATACGTGATGAAGCATATCGTCCAGGAGTTGATATCATTTTGCGCATCATCGAAAGGTTGTTCCGGGGTGGCGTTAGTGCTTGGTGTGATCCAAACACGTTGCGTGGAGATGCTGATTCCGATTCATCTCAGAGGAGCCATTCTGATCGAGGAGCTCAAATCCGACTTCATTCGTGACATCAATGACAAATTTGAGGATAATCCGTCGGATAGGTTTCACTTGGTGAAGGAGGAAGAGTTGTTCAACTATGAGCACCCTTGGCCCCCGATTCAAGGGCACATAACAGAGGTTATACAAGAAAGAGCGAGGGAGTTGCTGTGGGAGAGCGATGTGGAAGAGATTGTGAATGAGACCATTCAGAAGTTGTATGGAAGGGGCCAGTGGAACGCAGTTAGGCTCGGGAAGGTAAAGTGAAATACTTTGTTAATGTTATCAAAGCTCACCGCATATAGTGGTATCCTGGAAAAACACTTTCCACTAATAAAAGTGTATGTACAAGTTTCTAAGTTCAACGTTCCTCTTCCTGTGGGTCCCTGGAATAACCCGAAGTTATAAGTTCAACGTTCCTCTTCCTGTGGGTCCCTGGAATAACCCGAAGTTTTAAAGCAGCTTCTGCGTTGAAACATTCCGGTTAGATGAGGGTCGCCTTGGAATGCGTGTTAAAGGAAATAAAGCAGAGGCGTGAACTTTTTGGCTTTGCAGTTGAGTCATTGACTTGTTGACTATGTTCCCACAATAAAGATCAGAAGTATCCGGTCCAGCATCTTCACTTTCTTCTGCGGAGTAAATTGAATACAAGTAGGGGATGAGAAGTAGTACAGTATTCTGAATAACTTCCGGTTGGAGTTGAGGAATTTAATATATATATAAAAGTTTCTGACCCAGTGAGTAAGAAAGGAATTACATTGTGTATTTTCTAGAAGACCTTGCAATAAAGTCAATGCCAACAATAATTGTTGGAGCTGTGTTGCAAGAAACTTTTCACTTGTAGGCAAAAGCGATTCCTAGGGTAAGGTAAAGTTTTCCTACATTAACACCCATGCAGAATCCATGAATTCTAGCGGTACCAAAAGGGACGATAACCCAAAAAAAATCAGAAAACACAGGAGGAAAAAAGAAAAAAAAACATTTCCTGTAATCTGACATAACATATTTTGGAATATATGATTTAATACCAGTGTGGTTGTCTACTGTAAATTCTGAGGTAGTTATTCAAAAAAGGATTGATATCCAGGCTGCAATATTAGAGGTCCATAAGTTCTTGCATGTGCCCACGCTCAGATCAGGTAACGAAAAGTCTTCCTTAGTACGCATTTTGAGACAATTTGCTCGCTTGAACAACAAGACAACTCCTTGGAATCGGCCTGCCTGGCAAGGTGGTGCAGATTTGCAGATACAGCAGCAGACCTGTTTCTGGTGGCAAGATTGATGACGTGGCGAGGTTGGAACTGGTGAAGAGTCTGTCATCTAACCACCACGAACTCAGCATGCTTTTTCTGTATGCATGTTCATTCATTTTAGCCTTGCAAAATTTAATTTAAACAAATCATCCAGTCCGCCATGGACTCCTAGAAAGTCAAAACACCAAAAGGTGATGCAGATTCGAGAGAGGTTTTCAGTTTCCACTATACAACTTCCAGAAAATCTCTTCTTCAGCATTGCCCACTTCAGGAAATGGCACACGGTCAACTAGAGTTACATATGAGTCAGCACAACTTTGGATAGTACTGTATGAAGTGGATTCGGCTGCTGGACTATGAATGGTTCCTAGATTCTTTTTCATCGCCATGCATCTCCGAGCCCCATGTGATTCAAGGTGGTACAGTTATTTGGACATTGGAATCTCGAGGGTGTTGTCCGGAAAACTATATTCTCGATGTCACAACGACACATGTTTCGAAATTAAATTATATCGAACTCAGAAGCTTCATAGCGCTGTCATTATTCCCACATGGTGAATAAAGTTTTACTCAGAGCTTGTCGCTGCATTCCAGAAGAACAAACATCAGGCCGTCAGTTATGATGTAGAGTTGCTGGTGGAACACAGTTTGGAGATGTTACGTGTTTCATAGCATTCTAAATAATCACCCCCAATATCATACTTGTGCTATTCTATGCGATTCTGCTTGATTTTCACTATTCCCGTAACCCAGCAGGTTGATAATACTCACGCGTAGGAGAGAGGAGAGGCTTCTTCATGATTGCTTCGGAAGCAGCCTCATAAGCGTTCAGCCTCTTGGAGGATGGTTGTACTCAGTCGCACCAATCTCCATAAACAAAATTCTCAGTTTCATTGTGACAAAGTGGCTGGCATTCCTGCGTTCAGACTGATAAAAGTGTATATACCAGTTTCTAGTGTCAAAGTTACTCTTGTGGGTCCCTGGAATAAACCGAAGATATAAGGAACCTTCTCATGTAAGTTGAATATTTCAACTTAGATGAGGGTCGGCTTGAAATGTGTGTTAAAGGAAGATAAAGCGGTGGCGTGAGCGGTTGGACTCTACAGTTGAATCATTGTATTGTGCGTTGTATTTGTTCAGTATGTTCCCATAATAAAGATTAAAAGTATCCAGCCGAGCATTTCACTTTGTTCTGCGGAGTGAACTGGAGTTTCTAAGTTCCACGTTCCTCCTGTGGGTCCTTGGAATAAGCCGAACATATAAAGAACCTTCTGAAATCAGGATCGGAGGTAAAGTGACTTTGTTTTACTCTCCAATTTAGGCATTGTACTGCGCGTAATACTTGTTTGGCAAGATACCACAAGACAATCAAAAATATGTTCCGAGAATAGTGTCCAATGTGTATCGTTCTATTTTGAAAATCCGATTATCTAATATCACAGCAACGGTTAACAAAAATAAACAAGCCAGCCAAGATGCTGCTTCTGAAACATACTTGACTTGGCTGTTTGAAAAAGCAAAAGAAATTTGCGTACAAGTGAAGATTGCTTTTGAAGATACAACCTGTAGCATTCTGCATGATCGCTACATACTGTCATGGCATAAGTTGGAGAAGGTCTTATGTATCTGTGAGCAGATCGTGTCTTGATTCTTATGAAGTGGACGGTGGGTTACATCATGTCACCCACCATCCACATGTAACCTACATGTGGATGAGTACTCCACACTCAACATCAACGGAGGGTTACATCATGTACCCACTCATCCACATGTAACTTACATGTGGATGAGTACTCCACACTTAACATCAACGACCCTCTACTTTTCTCTACCACAATAAAATCAAAATTACCCAACCAAGCATCTTCACTTTCTACTGTGGAGCGAACAGGAGTAAGTTGAATACAAGTGGAGAGTGAAAAATAATGTAGTGAACAATTTCCGGTTGGATTCTTGATAAATTTAAAATATATAAAAATTTCTAGAGAACCGAGTCATAAAAAATTATATTTTGCATTTTTTAGAAGATCTTGCACTAAGAGTTAATGCCAACTATTGTTGCAGGATAGCTGTGTAGTCATCGGAGTGAATGCAAGACACTTTTTATGTGTAAGCTGGTGTAAGTACACTAGGGTAAAGTTAATAATTCCTACAAGTACACCATTGGACACCTGCGGCAGAATTCACCAATATAGAGAATACCCAACAAAAGAATCAATTATCATAGTTGAAAAAAAACATGTCACGTAAAGTAAGATGACATATTTTGATCTAATATTTGGTTGCATTTTAAGTTTAGCGAGAGACTAAGTCATTTTTGGAGATTATCAATTGATTCTTTCATCAACATTTGATCTTTTCAGAGTTAGTTCAATTTGAATGTATCATGCATCATCAAGATTTTTGTGTGTAGGCATGTAAGTAAAAGTCTGAAATAATTACTTACAATGTCAATATCACCTCCTTGTTTCAGCTTCAGTTATAAAGTTGGAATAAGTAAACATGTAACCATCCACTAATTATCTCATTTGTGTAGTTGTACTATTTGAGAATCATTCAGTTGCATTAATCTAGATGATGCATCTAAATAAACTGTCCAAGAATCAAAGTAAGAAATAACCAAAACAGCTGAAAAATTTTAGAGTCAAAATCTCTAAATCTGTGAATAAAATTTATATGAAATGTAAAACTGTATCTTTCATTCAAAATGTCTTGTCAGAAAAAAATTATTACACATTGTTTATGACTGAACATTTTCAGATTTGAGGTATCATCAAATAAAGATGCTAAACATGCAACACATATAATAGAAAATATTAAATCACAATTTTAAATTTTGTAACTAAAATTCATGTGAATTTTCTTTACACAAAAGAGAGAGTACGAAAGACATGAATTAATACTTTTGCGTTTCAACCATTTTATCAATTGAACAATGTGCTTTCATCTTTTTATCTCACATGTTTGGAATTATGACATGAGCATACAAGTGCAAAAGTTGCAGAAATAATTGTTTCATTTGAGTCAATATATCAGGTGTTGCAGTTTCCATGTAAGTTTGTCTTACCCTTTAGACTTCAAACGAGATGTTCATCTGGAGTTTTGAATCATTGTTCTCTAAAATTTAGCAGATGAGGTATTTTTCATCTCATCGATACAACAAAGTTTTTCTTCACTTGCAAGCAGATTAGAAGAACGTAAATTCTTGAGAGGATTTACGTTGACCTTAGCAAGTATCATGCTGGTTCTGTCGTGTTCTAAACGACGTGATAAACAAGCAGGACTGCTCTTAGCTCGGACGAAATCTGATTTTATTTTAATGTTTGAGGTTGAAAGACCTCCAGACACTGGTGTTAGAACTGTGCATGCTTGACAGTCGAGGTAGAAGAACAATCATACCAGCAGTTGAAGACCGCGAGTCCTCGTGTACTCTGTACCCATGACATTATGATTAGAAAAATGATTTCCCACAAAGTTTATCACTTTCTGATCCTACGATATATGCAGAGTAATGTAGACTACTGTACCGATCGTCAAAGCAAGAAAAACGCGCAAGAGACTTTACACACCAAGCTGACAACCCATGTGCCTCTCAATTGTAAGAATACATCCACTTGCTTGAATAGATCAAAGATTCTTTAAATTTATGTGCTCAGCGTGACGACATCGAGTGTATCAGCACACTGATGCATTCATCAATTTTCACGTTCACTTGCACAACAAAGTCAAGATTTACTCTGACCTTCTCAGAACATTTTCCAATCACTCCGAGTATGGAGGAACACGCGTGTTGTGTTAGTATGTTGTCTTGACCTCGATCATCCAGACAATATAATGAGAGTATCTGATGAGTAAGCTGCAAATTTCTACTCGCTACGCTTCGGAGGGTCTGTGTTCCCGTGGGTGTTGATGCAGCTAGATTCGCATTCTTCCAGTCCGATTGTACATGGAGTTTTCCACAAGGTAGAGTACTTCACATCTGAGATATCTGCGTTTCCATGCTTTCTTTGACATTCTGCATCCACATCGCACCATCTTCGATACATACCAGTTTTTTGGATTTCAGATTCACTTGCAGAGCTTTTAGCTTGTCCACTCAGTTGGGTCACCAGAGCTAATCAAACAACTCTTTTGGATTTCAGATTCATCTGCAGAGCTTTTAGCTTGTCCACTGAGTTGGGTTACCAGTGCTAATCAAACAGCTCTCTCCGTTAAACTTCACAAAAGGTTTGTTCCCCGAGAGATATAAAGTCCCCATTGCACACTCTCTACAATTTGCTTTGGAACCAGAATATTGGTTATCTGCTTTGATTTTGATTCACATCGCTTGTCTTGCCCAGCACTGAGTGCGAGCAGCGTCTTACTTCTAGTTTGCACAATATCCCTACGTTCGTGGTGATTGCTCCTGATCCGAATCCTTGCAGAGGTAAGATTAATCTTAATTTTCTCTTCATGCAGGTCGCAAGAAGTGTCATGCCCAGCGGGCACAAGTTTTGACACTGCGACGGGAAGTTAATTTTTTTCGGGTGAGCCGATCCTTCGGATTGAGGAGGGGCTCCTGAAGCCCAGGTGACATTTGGCGCGCGCATGCCAAGCAGCAAACGTTTCTTAATCTCTGAGAGAGGAGGAGAGAAAGGAAGGTGCAGGTGCGTCCATCTTCAGTCACGCTGCTGAACTGGCGACACGGGAAATGGACTCCGCACACGAGGAACCGGAGCTTCCCTCCGCCATCCAGGACCTTGTACAGCGTCTGGAAGGACAAGGCGAGCCTATAACGGAGCTTCCCGATTTAACCAAGCTAGTATTTTGGGAGTTCTTTCCGCGGAGTGAAGCACCCTCGACAGTCATAGGGTGGCGAAGCCAAGTGCGTCGTCGAGTGCTGGAGGCAATCGGCAGCTGCAACACCTTTGAGATTCTGGACGTGGGCAATATTTGTGGGGGAAAAATATCGAGGTTGACGCCAAGCGAGTGGGAGGTAGTTCTCAGAGGTTTCAGGTCGAGCACCGTTCTAGAAAAGATAAAAGTTCATGGGACATACCTGGGTAGATTTGCGGATGAGGAGAGCTTGTGTTTCCAGCTGGGGAGAATTCTGAATTCCTCTAGCGTAACAGAGTTACAAGTGCGTGACGAATTGAGTGCCAGATGTCTCTCGAATCTCGCCTCAGGTCTGCGAGGACGTTCCGATTCTAAACTCAAGTCTTTAGATTTATTGGTAGCGTGGGAGGACTCGAGTGGGGTGAAGTATGTGGCTGACATGATCAATAGTGCTCCTCTATTAGAAACGTTGCGTTTAGGCGTACGTTTAGGCGGCTGTTGGGAGTACATGGAGGACGAGACCGTTGGAATCCTGTCCCAGGCTTTGATCCAGAGCTTGGCTTTGAAAGAATTTACCTTAGACTGCGCGGGGAAGTTGGCAGGGCCCTTGTTGCTGAAAGCATTGGCCGGAGACGATCGCAACCGATCCATTGAACGTCTTCGGCTAAAGGATATGGATGGACTCGGAGACTGTTTAAGGGAACTTCTTATTTCCAACCCATCATTGAAGGAAGTGGAGCTCCACCCACTTCTCATGGAGCCTGAGCAAGCGCACCAGCTCGGCGAAGCCATACGTGACAATGCCATAGCGACTACTATACTTGTTAGGTTTGAATCCAGGTTTAGTTTTGAATCCAGGTTTGATGAATACGGGGAGTCAGTGGAAGCTCTTGCTCGTTCTGCTAGCTCCGAAGTCAACGACCCCACTCTGGAGATTACACTCCATGTTGATAGTGAAGACGAAGTGATGTTATCATTAAACCTATTAGGTAGGGTACTGAGAGGGGAAATCACATCTCTGAAATCTCTGAGTATATCTAGGGGAGTGATGGGATATATTGGCACTTCAGGTATGCTGTCGATGAATGGAAGAACTGGAGAAACTTGCGTCCTGAAGAGACTCCGATTAAGTGCTCTAAGCGAAGATGTTTGGAAGGGAGTATGGAAGGACCTGCTTTTGTGCCTGCGAGGGAACACAAGTCTCACTCACTTGGATTTGAGTGAGACCTGGCTGGACGAAGAGACGTTCAGGGACATGATGGGGCTACTCCAACAGAACTTGAGTCTCCAGGAAATAAATGTCTCAGAAACCTCATGGGCTACAGACGGAAAGGCGGCGCTGATTCAAGAGGCACTCAAGCAGAACGAGAAGCGGGCCGCCTACATGTCCGTATTTAGAGAAGCCGGATTAGCATTTGGAGATGCAAAAGCCGGTCGACTCTTTCTATGCGGCTCTCCTCTAGCAGGTAACGTGCTTTGGAACCTCTCAGCTTTTTGAACTAGCAATCTAAGGTTTTACTTCCCAAAAATTTATCCTATAGTAAAAAAAGTTCATTTTTCTCTCTACACATATTTGGAATAGTTCAAAAAGTTTCAAAGAATTGAAGAACAATTATTTTACCATCCTGATTCATTGAGATTATAAATAATATCTATTCAATCATTTCAAATTTTGATTTGATATTCAAATTTTTTACCAATACTTTTTATCCATTTGAAATAATAGTATCAAGTAATCTGTAGAAATATCTCAAGTTATATTTGTTGTGGTTATTTGTACTCAATTTGCAGGCAAGACTCAATTGCGTCAAACCTTGATGAGGATAGTTGAAGGCAATAGTTGGCTTGGGAACAAATGGAAGGAGTTGTTTAGAACTAAAGGTATCGAAGTGGAGTATTTGCAAAACAATGACAAAAGGCAAATTTCAATCTGGGATCTTGCGGGGCAAGAGATTTTTCGTACCCTTCAAACTGTGCTCTTTCCTCAATCCAACAATTTTTGTGTTTTTTTATTTGTGTATAGCTCTTTTTGTGAGAACTCATTTTCTAAGAAAAAAGACTCTTGTTTTCAGACGGAGTTGGAGGAATGGATGAGTTTTATCACATCCAGCTCTAGGGTCACTGGACATAATCGTCCGCAAGTTCTTGTTGTGATTTCACACAAGGACAAAATCAAATCAAGCTCTTTGACTTGGGCTCACTCAATAGTGAAAGATGTCAATCAAAGATTTGCAAAATTTGTGGATCTTCATCCAATTCAAGAGTGTTTTCATGTGGATGCGAGAAAAAAGAAGCAAGTTATAGATCTCAAAGATTATATTTTTGAGATTTTTGACAAGTTGTTGAGTGAAAAATCTCCACGGGTTCCCCAATTGTGTTCCCAAATCTCTTTCCGCTTGGTTAAAAAAATCAAGAAGAACAGAAGTTGCCATATTTGGTTACGTCAAAATTTTGTTGAATTTTGTGATCCCATCTTGAAAGAGTTCATTTCATCCTCTTCAGCTTTTGCCAATGATCATTCAAGGATACTAAATTCGATAGTTTCTTATTTGAATGACGTTGGGTCCATAGTTTATATTCCAACCCTTAGTTACATCATTGTAGATCCAAACTGGCTCACTAATACACTATTGGGTGAGCTAGTAGCTCTAGGTCAAAAATTTCATGCTCAAGAGCACGAAAGTAAGTCGCATTCCTCATACTCCTGCAAGGACGGATTTGTGAGCGAGAGTGTCTTTGTTGGATTGATAGAGGAGTTTCTGGGAAAGCTACCGCATGGACAGAAAGGTGTGGACAGAGATGTGATTGAGAACATCCTTATCCATTTAGATTTGTGTTTCAAGGTGGAAGATACTTCTCAGTTTTATTTCATTCCCTCCTTCATACCTGAGCATGCAAGCATTGAAGTACAGAAGCCTCAAGAATTGGCGCACGTGAAGCCGAAGGCTTGGAAACGTAGGGTTGAGACTTCAAAGTTTGTCGGCATCCGGATTCAATGCCAAGATGGAAAAACAATGTCACTGACCGCTGCTTTTTTTCCACGCTTTGAGGTGATTTTAAAGATAGTGTTAGAAAATTGAATGCGTTGAGTTCTAATTGTAACTTGTGTTTGATGAATGGAGTGTTCTCTTTTCATTAGTAGAATTTAATTTTTGGCATGCGCAGCTTAACATTTACCAAATTCTGTATCATTGTAGATGTTCATGAGACGCAAGTTGATATGCGAGATGCATATTTCCAAGGAGACTGTGACCTGCTCTCGTCATTATATGAAACTTTACCTAGATGGGCACGAGATATATCTGGAGCAAGAAACGTCCCGCAATTACTTGGATGTTTTGATGTTATGCTCGGATCATAAATCAAGGGAGGCGGCGATTAAATACGTGATGAAGCATATCGTCCAGGAGTTGATATCATTTTGCGCATCATCGAAAGGTTGTCCCGGGGTGGCGTTAGTGCTTGGTGTGATCCAAACACGTTGCGTGGAGATGCTGATTCCGATTCATCTCAGAGGAGCCATTCTGATCGAGGAGCTCAAATCGGACTTCATTCGTGACATCAATGACAAACTTGAGTATAATCCGTCGAATAGGTTTCACTTGGTGAAGGAGGAAGAGTTGTTCAACTATGAGCACCCTTGGCCCCCGATTCGAGGGCACATAACAGAGGTTATACAAGAAAGAGCGAGGGAGTTGCTGTGGGAGAGCGATGTGGAAGAGATTGTGAATGAGACCATTCAGAAGCAAATGCAACCATTGGAGTCATTTCATCGAGACCACAGCCAACAATTGAGATCATTGCAGCAAGGTGTAAACGAAGTGAACAAAGATTTGATTCACTTTTACCCTGAAAATGAGAAAATGGTTACTATGAAAGACTCCAATCGACGTTCATCCAGTGGGGCGAGCACAAGTGAATTTTGTGAAATCCGACATGCTTTGGATGAAATCCGACATGCTTTGGGAAGGATTGAAAGAAAGGTTGATGGTGTTGATGAAAGGATAAGATTAGGTCTGCAGGGATTGCAGACGAAGATGGAAGAGATAATCTCTCTGCAGCAACAACTGCAGTCAACTATGAGTGATTTTGTGTCTAAAGTAGATAGGATTATCGGGTATACTCAATCGTTTCAGCAGACCAGAACCCCCAAGCGACATTACATTAGGTTAGATGTTAACATTTTGTATAGGATAAGTGCACATTTGCATGCCGGGAGAACCGTTAGATTACACTTGATGTGTGAGTCGGTGACTGAAATTCACATGGTCAAAGATCAAGAAGGTTTGAAGATACGCGTGGATCTGGATAATCGTGAGTGGATTAGCAAAACCATTGAAATTTCATACAAAGTCTTGTATTATACTGCAAAGGCTGGACTGAGTATGAAGTTTGGGTTGGGCCAAGCGATTCCGGACTGGGCAGATTTAAAATCTGATATTGTTAAACTAGATGGCATTAGCGATGGTGATCGTAGTGCAGTTGTAAAAGCTGGGGAAAGCAAGGAGCTGACACAAGCATGGTTGAGGATTCAGAAACTTCTTGGGGATATTAACTATGCGAAAATCTTCAAGTTGTATCAGGTGAAATACGAGGGAGTAGAATCAGGTGGGCATGCATGGGTGTGCGAGGAGTGCATGAAAGAAGGTATTAGAACTGGGATTTTGTCGGGAAATTGAAGAGGTTAGAATGTCATGATGCAAATGACAAGCATATGTTAAGACACTCATGCAATATGATCCTCTGCAAAATCTTCCTTCAGAGTTTTCACTTGTACAAGTCTTGTATAATCTATGCAATCATGTCAATCGCACATACATGTTTCTGAAGAAGTTCAGATTTTGGCTAAACTATAAAATTTCACTCTGAGGAAAAACTTTTAAGAAAGCCTTGTTGGATGATGGATGATGAGCTCCTTCAATCTAAGAATGGATGAGAAACTAATTGTAAGCATTACTACTGCTAAGCACACTTCCTACATTGATGCCGTGTTATCAGATCTAGAAACCTTCTGTGAAAGGTTGACACAGAGGTCCATCAGATGTACCGATGAATATTTTCATCAAATCTTGATTTTGCCACCATGAGAAGTACGCAAGACATGTTACGCAGAAAGATGATTACTTCATTGCTGCCAATAAGGTACTGATGACATCACAACCTTCCATCACCCTTATCTCTGAACGGATGTGATATGCAAATTTATTGCTCTGCAGGTGCGGAATTACTGTAGTTGCCATTCTAAGATAAATGTTAATACTCACTAGTGAAATCCATACTCGCTCCGAAATGCAGGGGCGAAGTGGAGCTTAAAATATCAACATATGGAGCCTTCAGGTATCACATGCTGGACGGAGTGGAAACTTAAGAAACCATGACTCTCAAAAGTGACATAAATTCTGCTGTTGTTTCGCTTTGATGAGAGAAATTCTTTCTATCTTGACGAAGAGAATAGTGTACATACACTCAATGGCATCCCTGAGACTGGATCAGCAGTTTTTAATGCAGGTCATCTACTATTGACTGCAGACGTGATGATAATAAAGCTTGCATCTGCTAATCCAGAAATGAAGTACCAATGGTATTGTTTTGATGTGATATTTTGTATTTTGTTCCGAATGTCTCTTCCCTTGTCTCGATGCTTCCCATATTTATCTTTCTACTTGAAGGTATTCGAGGAGTCTGCATCGATGACTCCTTGAACATGCAGCAAGAATCATCTACATGCCAGCATATTAGTTTAAGTAAGAATTTCCACTAAAGCAACCTCCACCGGCTCACGGCCGGCCATTCATACGAACACCGGCTGGACAACCTGCTCAGTTAGGAGGTTGGAGTGGTAGCTTCTTTCTCATCGATGCACGCAACGGATCAGTCTTAGAAGGATGGTGTTGATTACAGAGTGACTGGAAAAGAATTTCTCTAGAGTCTGAGTATTCGATGTGACTGATCTACACTTCAGACAAAGTATTATGATGGTCGCTTTGTCGTAAGTTGTCCATAGCCCATGTCGATTCAAAGCCGATCCACACGAGTGGATTCTTCTCAGGATCTTGGTTCCTACTGGCAATCCCTCTCATTCTCATCATTCACGGTGAATATAAATAAGCACTTTGAAGACCGCTGGCCTCCTCCTCGCTTCAAACTCAGATGTAATAATCTTCCTCAGTGGCCTGCGACACGCAGAAGAACATCGTCTGGAGATTTATCCGCTTTCACGTAAAAGCATCACTTCTGCTACTTTCTATTCAAAGCATTTTCAAACTGGCGGATGCTTTGGCTGGGTTGTGTTGATTTTACGTTTTAATGTGGAATAACTGCAGCAGGGACACGTTACAGCTGTCTCTCAAGATCCGCGATTACACACATGTCATTGGGAAGTTGATGAACGATCAAAAGAAGCGGTTGCGCACCAATGCGAAATTCCGAGCTTTGGCTTCCCTCGGCTCCTCCCTGAGACTTGTGAGGGACATGCCATGAAGACAAGAGACCAAACCGTCATGGAAAGATGCAACCAAAAAACCATCAGTAAATTACTCATGGAATATCTCTCTGAATTCCTCGCTTGACGTCCAAGGTTTCATTGAAGATTTTCTGCATCAAGCTGTGAATAATTCCATGATAAGTGCAACCCAGCCACCCAGAAAAGTGTTCTAGAGGAGTATCCCAAACGAAACAAAGATGTACGCCGATTACTTGATTACTTGTAATGAGCCAGTTTAGCATTTTAGAAAACGGTGCTTTTCTAGTCTACGTTAAGTCAAACTAAATGTTGGATATCTGCATTGTAGGACCACATCCAGTGTTCAAGTTGTTGACTTTCCTAACCTGGCACTCGCAACACTCGTCATGAATTCAAGCATCGCAGATCTCTTCGGTCAGATTGTTTGGCCTGTGATTGGAAAGACATTGCAGTTTTACGTTGAGGATGGTGCAGAGTTTGTGAGAAAGAGGTAAAGAAGTAAGAATCGGAATGAGTTCTTAGATATGTGACTGCAGCTAGCTAGATTTGTTGCGCCCAATCTGTCGTCTCTGCTGATTTTCGTCTGAACTGGGTGCTCGGTACAATTTGTGAAACAATCAGAACAATTTATCTGCTTTTTCTTGAACTGCTGTCAGGAGTGACAGATTATGTGATTCAAAAGCAGCGTAATTGTCTGCTGTAAACTCTATGCGAATGGGAGTTAATTACAAAAGGATTGATCTAGAGTCTGCAGTAGAAGAGGTCCACAAATTCTTACATGTGCGCACGCTGAGATCAGGTACGGGAAAGTCTTCCTTAGTACACAATTTGAGACATTTCGCTCACTGAAGCTAGGGAATTCTAGGCAATTCTTTTTAATCGTCGTGCCTGGCAAGGCAGTGACGACTAGCAGAAAGGGCAGCAGACCTGTTTCTGGTGGCAAGATTGATGATGTGGTGAGGTTTGAACTGGTGAACAGTCTGTCATCTAAGCACCACGAACTCATTATGCTTTTTCTGTATTCAGGTTCATTCATTTTAAGTGTGCAAATTTAACAAAATTATCCGATCCAACTGGACTCACAGAAAGTCAAAACAAGAAAATGTGTGAAATTATTCGAGAGACGTTTTAAGTCTCCACTATAGCACTTGGAGTAAATCTCTTCTTCAGCACTGCCCACTTCAGTATGTTGCAGGAGGTCATCGACCACCACTTACTGCAGCATTGCGCTATCCTTAAACCCTTCCCGGTAGAAGATCTAGGAAGCCACTCCAGGTTAAAGGAGGTATTGTTCAGGCGAAGATTATGTTGTGAACTTCTGGCTGGGAATTGCAACTGCAGCCGAATTGGAGCAGGGAAGAAATGTGTCCTGAATCCATGTTGTCTTCAAATTTTCTAAAGTATATGGCCTGCCCAAGGGAAGAAATGTGTCCTGAGTCCATGTTTTCTTCAAATTTTCTAAACTAACTTTTACTAGTAGATGGCCTGCCCAAGTAAAATACGATCTGATGCCAAGCTGTCTTCCCAATTTCCATTCCGCCTTCCTTTTTCGAATCGAAATCACCATAATGAGACAAAGGCGTCGGAAATGATTTAGACGGAGGAACAAATCCATCGTTTTTGTGACTGGGTGTTATTGACTTTTTGGCTACTCTACTACAAGGATAGTCCAGGGAGCGAACTGATACCGAACATGGTCGGGAAAATACGGCTCATGGGGCAATTCAAAACTGTGACGATGGTCCGCAGACGTATGGAAAATACGATTCATGTACCATTCTAAACCGTGGCAATCTTCTTCATAGTGTTTATGAAAACAGGTCCTCCGACTCGTGCAGATTGCGCCCGGCCAGCTAGAGTTGTATATGAGTTAGCACCACTTTGAAAACAACTGTATAAAGTGAATTCAGCTGCTGGACTATGACTCGTTCCTGGATTTTTTTCCATTGCCGGGCATCTCCGAGCACCATGTGACGCAAGGTGGTAGAGTTATCTGTACACTGAATAGAGTCACAAGGCCTGCGAAATTCGTTCGCATGCCGTATGGACTCTGGGAGCAATCCGAGAGGATGCAACAGAGCAACATGCGTCCTGGTCGTGGAGACATCAGGGAGCGGACACGAAGGGGCCTCCGTGAGCTCCTCGGCTGGATTCTGTACTGGCACCTCCACGGCCTCTTTCAGGTCAGTTTCTGCGATTGAGATACTGCTCACGGCGTTGGAAGCGCCATTCCGTGACGAATTCGCCTGCACGGAACCTCCAGAGCGAGAGATGTTCAGCTGTACAGATTCATGTGATGAAGGCACGCGTAATGCAGGAGAGCCATGGGTAAGGCGAACGGTGGAAAACGAGCAGGATGCTATGCCTGAAACGGGAACTGCTTTCGAGGACCATGTACGACGTGAAGCTAACGCCGCACCGCCGCAGCTGCTGCTTACGAGCTAGGCAGCCATCGTTATTTCTCCAAATGCTTCGCTCCGTGATTGAATCCAGCGTCTGCCTCCAAGCTGGTGATGACCATCTCGATCTCGCCCTTCCAAAAAAAGTATTCCTGTTTACACGTTATATCGTTACCATAGCGTCACAGAATCTTATGGAACAAAAGCTCGACGAGAAGTCGCAAAATGCGCCTCGGAGGTGGAAAATATGAAACAGTCAATTGAACTGTACAGATCAGGTCGAATTAAGAAGGGGGCAGCCGAATATTGTGAGCATTGGTCGTGACATTCGAAAAGTACTCATTCGACTCCCGGACGCAGCGAGTCTCTCGAGCCACAGCCAATCGAAGCACGTCGTAGAATCGCCTCAGGAAGCCAGGCCAGTAGGGTTGGAGGCACAACATCAAAGGGCATGCACCAGCGCGAGTGCCTAGTTTGCATTCTTCCATACAAACAAATTAATACATATATCTAAAAAATTTGCAGCAATTTTAAACGAAAATAAAACATTCTTAGAATTTTACTTCTAAGACTGTTTTATTTTCGTAGAAGTACATCTCTGAATACGCTGAATGTATGTAGTGTAATACGGGTATGGCCTGCCTCAAAATATTTTCCTATTACTCCAATCCTACAGACCAGGCACGGATACTCGGCGACGACTTCGAGAATTCTCTTGTTTTGCTCGCTGGTGTGTGGATCAAAGGATCCCTCCCGTCATCCCCCCAAACTCCGAGCCCGCATTCCCCGCCGTCTCCGACTACAGTTGGCAGCCTGGGTACGAGGGCCACGTGGAGGTTCGCTGGGGACCCTAGTATCCTTCGCGGAGGAGGCCGCTGATACTCGCTCCAGTTAAAATTGAAAGCACAGCAAATTAGTTTGGGTCATGTCCATGGTCAAAAGGCATGGTCCATGCACTTATTACACTAAATACATTTAGCATATTCAGATAAATACTTTTTAGTATTCAGAAATATATTTACACGTAAATAAATCATTCTTAGAAATAAAATTGCTAAAAAATTATAGATATAAATATTAATTTGTTTGTACATTCATCTATGAATTCATGGAAATATGCGAACGAGACTCACCCTGAGACTAGAGTTGGAGGCACGTCAAAATATTTTGAGGCATGCCCATGCCTCCACTGTCAAGGTCACAAGGCATGCCCCATGCCTCCAGGCATGCCTGTACTACAATACGTACATTTAGCGTATTTGTTAATGTATTTATATGGAAATAAAACATTCTAAATATACGTATTAATTTGTTTATACATACAGGCATACATGTATGGAAGAACTTAGCGTATTTGTAAATGTACTTATATGGAAATAAAACATTCTAAATATACGTATTAATTTGTTTATACATACAGGCATACATGTATGGAAGAACTTAGCGTATTTGTAAATGTACTTATATGGAAATAAAACATTCTAAATATACGTATTAATTTGTTTATACATACAGGCATGCATGGAAGAATTCGAACGAGGAACACCCTCGCCTTGGGGCATGCCCCTCTGAGGTTGTGCCTCAACACTACCTGGGACATGCCCTTTGAGGTCGTGCCTCCAGCCCGTGTGACACCTGGGACGAGGTAAAAATGCCCACCCTCGCTTGTCGACTGTGCACTGCGCCTTCGTGTTTTACCCTGATGCTCGCTCGTGTCCTGCCGTCTTCGTGGAGGGCGCGAGATCGGCAACGGGTCGCTTTTCGGACACCACGCGTGCACTCGCTACCAGCGATCAATGGGTCCGTCTGCTGCCGATGCCACACGATGTGCCCTGTCTTGTTCCTCTGCCACAGCTCGGCCATACACTTCCCAATTTTGGAGCAACGTATGAAAGTGAGGCTTAGGCTGGGTATCCCATAGCTCCCCCAAAGTTCTGCTTCACGGCGCCAAGTGACAGAGAGACTTCCAATTGTTTGCCTTCTTAAACTATCTCGTGTAGACCCTACTCACAGAATTGGATATGTTGAATCACCTCGAAATTGTACTTTACCCGACCGTGAATGGTGACTAGCCTTGGAAGACACCATTTCCGCACAGCTTGAGTAACTAGTTTGTCTTAATGGTCTTGTTTGCAGTCCATCAAATTGGATAGTTTATTTCGTAAATCTCAAGAGTAGCCCTATGTGGGCTACGTGGACCCCGACGACATAGACAGTGGTGAGGCAATCTGTGAAGTACTGAGGACAGATCGTCCTGATGTGACTGAGGACGTTGCTTCGTCACGTTGTGGATCTGAGGGGTATCAGTATGTTAGACATCTGTAAAATTGTTTTCGTCGATCTCGACAACCTGATACCTGTCATATCTCGACAAGCCTCAGGTCTAAGATATATATCCAAGATCCTGAGACAATAATAGACGACTCCCATATAGATGCCAGACAAGAACTAGCCGCTCTCTACTGCCTGGAAGTGCACTGAGCTTATCTCGTCTCATGTAACAGTTGTACAGGACAACAGAGTATTCAACAGAGAACTCAGAAAAACTCCTCCTTACAATCGAGCACTCCATGGGAAATAATCTTCACAATCAATGTAAACTTTACTGAAGAAATCTGGCGCAGCTGACATCACAAACAGACGCCGCCAACCAAAGTGAGGATGGCAATTTTCTCCTACATGCGGTCGTTCGGGCCTAAGCTGCGAACTTGAAGAATACATGAAGGGGAACCTCCCGGAACCTTCCTCAGGAACCCAGCTACTCGACTTACAGGTGCATTAAAGTGGAGACGAAACCGAATTATTCTAATCCTGGACTAGGATTGCACACTGAAAGTACTGATATGAATCCGATGACCAACCAGCTCTTCGTATTCTTCACACAGTGTTTCTTCAATTAGACAGAAGTTAGGGATAAATATATCATCGTACTCCAAACGCTGAGTGATATCTCGTGGTCATTTGAAAAGCTCGTCCGGCCCAGTAACTTTATTTTCCCCTTCTGTCTGCGTCCGACTGCCATGTGAAATTCATGCTGCCTCGTCTGCTGTTATCTGCTTCAGTTTCTCCAGAGCTGCACGTCCAGCACAATGCAACATTCCCTCTGTAAGGTAATTGTGTGAAGCTAGAGAAGCTACCGAAAACCAAAACAAAGCCTAAGACAGCATAGGTTCGAACGTTCTGAGATTATCACATCCCATTGCATTAGTCCGAAGCAGCTATACGATTGAGTACAATATCAGACACAGGTGGTTATCTAGACAGAGATGCCTTCAGCCCAGAAAGAAAACCACACCCTGTGTGAGACGCGTACCTTCAGTGTAAGACTCATAAAGCTCTTCGATGACAGATGACGGCAGTGAATAATCCTTGCACTTGCTATTGTCGACTTTCTTCAACATCTGTTTGAAGTGTCGTACCTGCGCAAACATCCCCAGGTTACAGATCAACGCACACAGCTGGTTTGATGACTGCAGGCCGTTATGCACAACCGAAAAAACAAACACAACAAGACGATGGTCTGCGCTGAATAAGCCCGAGCAACATGGGAGGAAGCGGATACAGCGCTATTGAACTTGTTACATGGAATGTACATCAAACTACTTTGTGGTTTATGCATGTTCAGAAAGCGAACCTCCTCCTTCCGAAGAAGAGTTTAATAGCTCCCGGGCTGTCCGGCTCGAGCAGTGCGCCCAACACGATGGACGTAGGTCTTTGCGTACACAGGCATATCATAATTGACAACGTTTGCAACACCTTCCACATCCATACCCCTTGTCATCGCATCTGAGGCAATGAGCATTTGTGCCTGGCCATTCCGGAATTTTGCCAACGCTTTACTGTAAAGCATGATATAGAGGCAAATCATTAGGATTATTGAAGCCAGCTACGAATGTCGGATAACAAACGAACGAAACCGACTTGGATGTTCATCCCAAGATCAATAAATCAGAAGAAAGAGGAAATAACCTGCGACTTAGAGCTCTGTATGTAAAAATATATACTTATTAGTCACGTGGTCTACAAAACCCATCAAAAGCACACACGTGTTGGACAAACCTGCGGGGTTGTTAATGCTGCAAGCTTGAGTACTCAGCCACCTTGACAATCCTTAGTAGCATTTTAGCAGAGTATATAGTCGATGAGTAGCCACTACAGAAGCAGTGAAAACAATGGTTGTTTGGCTGCAAAGCTGTTGTAAAAGTGCTACCAAATATAAGGGCTTCTCTCCCGGTTTGCAGACCTGCAAAGATGTTCAGGACAACAATTTCTGTTACGGATCATGCGATGCAGGTTTGAACAGAAACAAGCTCCAAGGCTACGTGAACTAAATTGAGTCAGCAACAAGTTATGGTGGCAACGTGTGTGAACAGAGATACGTACCATCCTGTAAGACTTAAGTTGTTCTGGTAGTTGATACCGGTTGCCAGCAGCACCAGGCGCCACATATATGGGGCAGAGAAGACCAAGTTGTGCAATTTTTGCTGGATCTCTCGTCAAGGTAGCCGATAACACCATCTTCATCAATCGTGGGAGTGCAGTGCCTCTATTTCCTCTTTCAAGACAGCTGCACGTAATCGCTAAAAACTTAATGCCCAGCTTTCTCTACAGTGAAGCTCATTATTCATGTAGTTGCGTCCACCTTTTGCCTCAGGGCGTCAGCGACGTATTACGATTATTTCCATATTATGAGAATAGATATGAGATGGCCAGAAGCAACAGAAATAAGCAAACGAGAGGATCAAACCATGTGAATATAATCAGGACATTCCGTACCAATTTCTAATGGTGCGGACTGAGCCAGGATGAGAATTTCGAAACGCTAGTCCAGACAACATCGGGCCAGAAGCAGAAACACACGCCAAGACATTTGGCAGCCACTCCTGGTAAGATTGCCGTAGCAATCTATCTGTCTCATCAACAACCTGACAGACAAACCAATAGTTCGTTAACCTCTGTGAAATATCTAACCTCTGTATATATAACCTCTGTGAAATATTTAACCTCTGTGAATTGATAAAATAAAACAATTTAGAGAATCTATGTAGGCCTTATCACGGCCTTTGTAGAAAGATAACGCTATAGAGAAACAAAGACAATAGTATCACCACGGAAAAAACTCACGAGAATTTGTAGGTGCTGAAGAGTGAACCCTTTCGTACTTCGAATATGGTCCATCAAGCGCCCTGGAATTGCAACAAGTATGTCAACCTGGCTTTCGGCAAGGTCGGGAGTTGCAGCCTCAGATTTTTCCCAAAACTGTGGACCATCGACTTACGAATCTGAACCAATTCAGCCGCTTCAGCTACAGTTGACGTTTGTCCCACAGCTAGTCCCACCGAGAGAACAACTGCTGGTGCGATGGTGTCAAAGACTGCTTTAACCTGAAGAAACGCGATTACGAAGGTTGAAGGCCTTAAGAGAAGCTTGAGCGGATATATAGGAACTGGAAAGCCAGCCGAATATGGGTACTAGAGGATACATAACAATAAAAGCCATCGATTAAAGTAGCGCTCACTACCTGGTTTTCACGATCTTGAAATGTCCTGTACAGAAAATGGGCGGATCTTTGAAGCACGTGAACAAGGAATTCCAAACTTTGATACATCAGCATGGATCTCCTTTCTATCTCATAGTTGTACAATCAAATAGTACACATAGATCCGAAATAGGAGAGATTCTCAACATAAAGACCATCCAAACTACATTTCAAAAGAACCTCACCTGCGCAGCTAGATCCCTGGTCGGGAGCACTACGAGAACTCGAAGAAGACGAATCACCCGAGACGATAACTTTTGGACGATCGGTAATGCGTAAGATAGTGTTTTGCCACTGCCTGTTGGCGAGCTGACACAGACGTCTCGCTCGCTTAAACCAGGGCCCACAGTCTCGTGCCACACGGCCATCTGTACCGGAAACAACGATTGTTTTCCTGCCATCGAAAGCATCTTGAAGTCTGCAATGTAACTCGAAACGCACCAAGAATCATCGGCTGGACATCGAGACAAACTTCAAGTGCTGGGCAGATAGAAGATGATTACAAACGGACGGACGGCAAGGCTACCTGGTGTCCAAGCCAGGCACTTGTCTCAGGGAGGTGGCCTTGTAGGCATCAATATCAAGCGGATCACGCATCCATGGCAACACCGGCCCGTGGTCTTGCGACTCTGCTTGAACCAAATTAACATCACGACCCATGATTCTATCCACATCCCTCTCAATTGTGGAAATTCAGGTTCATTCCGAGAAGTATCGTCCGCTCCTAGTGCGTTCAACTCGTCAGTGTTCTCTGTAATTACATGCTCCTCCTCCTCATCCGGAACCCCTAGGGACTTACTGTTAGGCTCCTCTTCATTGATCTGTTTCCAAGGGCCACCATCTGCAATCACATCCACCTTTTCAGACAAATTGTGAACTTATGCATCTCTTTCTCGATCACCGGTTGAGGATATGAATGAATAAAGATAATACTGAGACTGTGCAAAAATGACTTACTTCTCCAGATACGCCTCTTGCGTTAACCAGTTCATCACTTGGTTCCAGATTGCCCCCTCTTCGTATCTTCAACCTCTTTTCTTTCTTTCGTTTCTTCTCCCATTTGGACACTCGAAATTCAACCAGCTCCGGGACACTTCTGTCGATGTCGGCTGCATAATTCTCTTCCGCTCGCTCTATATTATCTTCACTTGTTAAAGTATCGTTCACTTTCCTTTCCTGTTCTTCCGTTCCAGGAGAAGCAGGAGCTTCCAGAGGAAACACATGTTCTTCAGTCGTATCCGAGACTTTCAGCTTCTTGAGCTTTTTGACTTTTATAGCAGAATCAGGAGCTTCCTGGTCAATCAAGGTTGCCAATTCTGTCTTGTGTTCCTGATGTTGCAATCGCTTTTTTCGCCTAGTATGAGGTTCAATTTCGCTCACGGCATTAGATTCTTCCTCAACCACAACCTTTGAGGCTTCCTCCTTGCTTTCATCTCTACTCAGTGCAGGATCAGAATCCTTGTTCGAGACTTTCTCCCTGTTACCTGGAGAAGAACCTTCCGCTTTCTCTCTAAGCGGAAGCAGAGCAGCCCGCTCCCGAGCTCTGGCATTCAAACGATCTAATAGTATTGGAGAACCATGCTTCCGACTTTCTCCTCCCAGCCAGCGCTCCACCTGAAACATCGTTGCCCCCTAAACAGCAGGCAAGAATTTCATCTTCAGGGCAAAATTGCTCGCGCACATCTAGACGAACCATGTGACAAGAAAACTGAACCCTTCTCACGAATCTCTATCACACAGACGTCCCGTACTCTTCTGCGCCAAGCTCCGCAAAATGTCCGCACGTGGAGCACATGAATTATCTGATGTCTACTTCACTGACAATTTCGAGACGTGATCCGAGCGTAATCCGAGCGAAATCGGAAAAAAAGTAGCAACGACATGTTTTCAGATTTCAGAGAGGCCTTGACTGCATCCCTGACACAGGCTCGGGGTTTAGAGTTTAGTTTACAAAGTTCGAAGAAAACGCTACACAAAGGTTAGACATTAACCCCAGCGTGGTAAGTTAAACAAGGTAGCCTAATTAGTGTATGCGTAAATTCCATTCTTCAGATTAAGAGTATTTAAAAAGCGGCGATGATTGAGGGTTAGGGTATCAGACTATATGATCACAAGAATTCGAAACGCACAATTAGTTTGCAGTAGGTCTTGGAGAATCAACGCAGCTGTATGTCATAACTTGTAAAAAATCTGATATTTCATGGATCAAAGATGAATTATTATATATTTGATTGGTGATCATTATTGAACTCGAATTAGTTCACATCTGAGTTAATTGTCATTATTCGTCGCTGCAGCTCTCCACAATAATCGCTTAATTCCTCGTTTTTTGTGCGCGCTAATATGTTTTAGAGTCAGTTAAAAAATCAAGCCGGCACTATTCGATGTATCCACACTAATTTCTCGCTTGGTCCCTAAAGTTCTCTCTTCCCAATCAATCTGGCAGTCTATAATTGCAAAAAAGAGTACAGTCAAGATGGTTATGCGGGCGATAAGGTTTGTGTCCAGATAAACTACAGAAACTATGAAGAAGTGTTTCGTACCAAAATTGATACGTAGAAGTAGTCTAATTGTAGTTGCAGTTGAAAGTGTGAAAATATACGTCGAAAGGAAGCAAAGGCGCAACTCGAGCAGAGTCGACAACTTAGAAGAACCTTTGCGCGGTCTCTTTCGATCATCGTGGAGTCCAGGGCCGTTTGACTACGCTGCTCCCGTTTGACTACGCTGCTCGGGAGGTCGAGAAGCGGACGAAAGCTCCGCCGCTACGCCTCTAACCGCGGCTAAATCTGGAGGCGGACACGGGAGCGCCCGGATAGACGACAAGGCCGACGGGCTCTGACAGGACATCGGAGCACGAAAGTGGGAGCTCTTGGCGGGCGGTGGATATCGGAGGTTCCGGTTATCGGAGGAAAGCCTGGAGGAGTACGATACGGGCGACCGCACCGGTGAGCCGAGTGCAGTTCGGAAGTGATGGCCGATGTTCGTGGAAGCTTCGAATTTAGCAGGAGGAGCGCGGCAGGCGGTTTAGAAAGAACCTTTTTGCGCGGTCTCTTTCGATCATCGTGGAGTCCAGGGCCCCGGCTCGTCGTAGAACCTACTGTTGGGATGTGACGCGGAGCGAGCGAGAGGCGGAGGTGGAAGGTGGGAATCACTCCCACGTTTTTGTCGATGTGGGAATTTCCGCATTTGCGCATTTCCGCAATTCCGCAGTTGCGAGTTTACCTGCGAGGGTGCATGGTTCCGGGCACGCAGAGGGGAAGGGGTCTTGGCAGTTCGATCCATGAGCGATGGGACTTCGCATCCAAATCACCTCCTCCTCCTGCTGGTCCGCTGCAGGAGCAGGGAAGGGCCGTCCCGGCTCCTTCTCCGTCTAAACGCCACGTAATTCAGGGGACAGGCCTAATAATTTCGGAAAACTGATTTGTTCCTGTCCTTCTCGTCCACCGCAAGCGTAGTCCTGCCTCGCCCCGCCTGTCCAGTCCGGTGCCTCCGTTCTATATCCATTTTACTGTCAATTCTGCGATGGATCCGATCCGTTTGGAGGTTATTTGTCGCGGCGTGCTCCTTCCGGAATTACGCGTGTAGCCATAGGCTAACCGCTGTCAAATAAGGCTGAAGATTTTAGTCTGTTTGCAAGAACTGGCAGGCATTTGATTCTCGATCCTCGGATCGATCAAACGACCTAGGAACCCCACTGTCTTTTTGCCACCCCATCGTCTTTTGGTCGTTACCCGTTCATCGCCTTAACTTACTTTTGCACTTACTTTTTTACTTTTTCAAGTTATTTAATGGATTGGAGAAGTTCTGAGCATTTTCTGTCGAAAACGCTCAGAACGCTCAGTTCAAAAACCTTGCTGTTTTTGATGGTTTAGATAAGATGGTAGTTATCTTTTGTGAATATCTTAAGATTAGATCATGAACGATGACTTTTACGCCTACTAATCATAGACTAGAACTTAGACTATGATTATTCCATAGTCTCAAGAGGAGACTGACTTTTTTAGAATAATTTTAAAGTAGATTGGGTCTTTCAGTCATTTTCTTCAGTGTTTGGTTTGAATTATCACTTGTTTGCTTCTGAATGGCTCCACGTTCTTCTTTCTTTCATGCAATTTGTTGACTTCACGTATCGAAGCATAACCGAGTTGTGAGACATCGAGGGTAAATATATATATATATTGGAAAATCTTGTGATACATGTTAATTATTATAAACTAGTTATGATATCATAGGAGTTAATTCAGGTATTGATCAAATGATTTACAATCAATATCTATTTAGTTCAACTATGATTAATAATCAGTATTCATTTATATTATATAAATATAAATTTTTTTGGCTAAAATTTATTCGATATTTCAATAAATAATTTTGGATATTTAATGTATGTAGTTTTTTTTACAGGCATTAGGTAATTGACAATATATTTAGAAATGTTTATCATTGAATATAGATTTTGAAATACATGTCAGGCATGTGAGAGAGAAATAAATACAAAACAATGACTTAAAGAAGTTATTCATTTCGTTGTATTTACCCGAACGTCATCGAAAATATTATTTCCTCTGCTCTTCGGAAATTTCTACTGAATTAGATTTACAAATTACTGGAATATACGTCGAGTCACATCATAGAGATAATGATCTGCGTAGAACTTGGTAAGCGCCACTTAATCCTTCGCTCACTAGCTCAAAAGGAAAGACACAAGTTTCCCCAGGATTTGATACTACGCCGACTATCCTGCTACTCCTCCCTCGTCCTCAATAACGCTCCAAGGAAATTTCGTTCGCTAGCTTCTTTTCATAAATGTCGATTTAATGGCAGCAGGCTTCTTTTGCTTTAGTTTAAAGTATAAGTTTGTCCCGTGGCAGAACGCCTTTTCTGGCGCTGCCCTTCACGGCCGCCCCTCCGACGTTCTATTCCTGTACACTTTCTCGATCCGCCGGCCAAGTCGTGGGCCTTCAGGCTTCCGCGACTGCCGCACGAGAGCAACAAACAACTTTCCGGGAGCCGGAAATTTGCGCCGCTCGCGGTTTCGGCAAAGCTGCCGGACGTCCGTAACTGCGTCCCCGACCCTTCGACCGATTTAATTCTATTCAGAAGGCGAGGAATAGAATTTATGTCGTGGTCGGTGTGGTGTGTGTGCGAGGAGGAGTTGCGCATTTGCGGCAGGTGCTCGATCAGCGAAAGGTCTGTCAGCGAACCCTAGCCGCAAGCTTTTGACCTGAAGTCGGAGAACTTTCCGCAGACGTGTCAGGGAAGCATACATGGAAAGGGAGGACGGAGAAGAGTTGCGAGAAGAGCAGTAGCTGCAGAGGAACGATGAGACCGGATTGCGTCACATCATCCTTGCAAACTAACATTGATTGATTCGGTACATTGCATGAGTTGCGATTGTAAACCCTCCTTCGAGCGTTTGCGGGTCCCCTCGGGGCCCTCCACGACTCGTGGAGGGCCCTGATTCCAAGGACCTTGGAATCGGCGTGCCTGGCAAGGAGGTGCAGATTTGCGGATACAGCAGCAGACCTGTTTCTGGTGGCAAGATCGATGATGCGGTGAGGTTGGAACTGGTGAACAGTCTGTCTGATAACCACCACGAACTCAGCATGCTTTTTCTGTATGCATGTTCATTCATTCTAGCCTTGCAAAATTTAATTCAAACAAATCATCCAGTCCGCCATGTACTTTAGAAAGTCAAAACACCAAAAGGTGATGAAGATTCGAGAGAGGTTTTTAGTTTCCACTATAGAACTTCCAGAAAATCTCTTCTTCAGCATTTCCCACTTCAGAAAATGGCACACGGTCAACTAGAGTTACATATGAGTCAGCACAACTTTAAATAGTACTGTATGAAGTGGATTCGGCTGCTGGACTATGAATGGTTCCTAGATTCTTTTTCATGGCCATGCATCTCCGAGCCCCATGTGACTCAAGGTGGTACAGTTATTTGTACATTGGAATCTCGAGGGTGTTGTCCGGAAAACTATATTCTCGATGTCACAACGACACATGTTTCGAAATTAAATTATATCGAACTCAGAAGCTTCATAGCGCTGTCTGTCATTATTCCCACATGGTGAATAAAGTTTTACTCAGAGCTTGTCGCCGCATTCCAGAAGAACAAACATCAGGCCGTCAGTTATGATGTAGAGTTGCTGGTGGAACACAGTTTGGAGATGTTACGTGTTTCATAGCATTCTAAATAATCACCCCCAAAATCATACTTGTGCTATTCTATGCGATTCTGCTTGATTTTCACTATTCCCGTAACCCAGCAGCTTGATAATACTCACGCGTAGGAGAGAGGAGAGTCTTCTTCATGATTCCTTTGGAAGCAGCCTCATAAGCGTTCAGCCTCTTGGAGGATGGTTGTACTCGGTCGCACCAATCTCCATAAACAAAATTCTCAGTTTCATTGTGAGAAAGTGGCTGGTATTCTTGCGTTCAAACTGATAAAAGTGTATATACCAGTTTCTAATGTCAAAGTTATTCTTGTGGGTCCATGGAATAAACCAAAGATATAATGAAGCTTCTCATCTAAGTTGAATATTTCAACTTAGATGAGGGTCGGCTTGAAATGTGTGTTAAAGGAAGATAAAGCGGTGACGTGAACGGTTGGTTGGACTCTACAGTTGAGTCATTGTATGGTGCGTTGTACTTGTTCAGTATGTTCCCATGATAAAGATTAAAAGTATCCAGCCGAGCACTTGTTCAGTATGTTCCCATAATAAAGATTAAAAGTATCCAGCCGAGCATTTCACTTTGTTCTGCGGAGTGAACTGGAGGTTCTAAGTTCCACCTGTGGGTCCCTGGAATAAGCCGAAGATATAAGGAAACTTTTGCGTTGGAATATTCAACGGAGATCAGGTCAGAGCTAAAGTGATTTTGTTAAACTCTCCAGTTTACGCATTGTACTGCGCGTAAGACTTGTTTGGCAAGATACCACAATACAATCAAAAATATGTTCCGAGAATAGTGTCCAATGTGTATCGTTCCATTTAGAAACCCGATTATCTAATATCACAGCAACTGTTAACAATTATAAACAAGCCAGCCAAGATGCTGCTTCTGAAACATACTTGACTTGGCTGTTTGAAAAAGCAAAAGACATTTGCGTACAAGTGAAGATTGCTTTTGAAGATACAACCTGTAGCATTCTGCATGATCGCCACATACTGTCATGGCATAAGTTGGAGAAGGTCTTATGTATCTGTGAGCAGATCGTGTCTTCATTCTTATGAATTGGACGGTGGGTTACATGTGGATGAGTACTCCACAGTCAACATCAATGACCCTCTACTTTTCTGTACCACAATAAAATCAAAAGTATCCAACCAAGCATCTTCACTTTCTTCTGTGGAGCGAAGAGGAGTAAGTTGAATACAAGTGGGGAGTAAGAAATAATGTAGTGAACAATTTCCGGTTGGATTCTTGACAAATTTAAAATATGTATAAATTCTAAAGCACTGAGGCATAAAAAATTATATTGTGCATTTTTTAAAAGATCTTGCACTAAGAGTCAATGTCAACTATTGTTGCAGGATAGGTGTGTAGTCATCGGAGTGAATGCAAGACACTTTTATGTGTAAGCTGGTATGGGAAAAATGATCCCTAGGGTAAAGTAAACAATTCCTACAAGTACACCAATGGACTACTGCGGCAGAATTCACCAATATAGAGAATTCCCAACAAAAGAATCAATTATCATAGTTGAAAAAAAACATGTCACGTAAAGTAAGATGACATATTTTGATCTAATATTTGGTTGCATTCTAACTTTAGCGAGAGACTAAATCATTGTTCGAGGTTCTAATTTGATTCTTTCAACAACCTTTGATCTTTTCAGAGTTTGTTCAACTTAAATGTATCATGCATCATCAAGATTTTTGTGTGTAGCCATGTAAGTAAAAGGCTGAAAAAATTACTTACAATGTTAATATCACCTCCTTGTTTCAGCTTCAGTTATAAAGTTGGAACAAGTAAACATGTAACCATCCACTAATTATCTCATTTGTGTAGTTGTACTATTTGAGAATTATTCAGTTGCATTAATCTAGATGATGCATCTAAATGACTGTCCAAGAATCAAAAAATTAAAAATAACTAAAACAGCTGAAGAATTTCAGAGTCAAAATCTCTAAAGCTGTGAATAAACTTTATATAAATTGTAAAACTGTAACTTTCATTGAATAATGTCTTGTCAGAATCAAATTATTACACATTGTTTATGACTGAACATTTTCAGATTTGAGGTATCATCAAATAAAGATGCTAAACATGCAACACATATAATAGAAAGGTATGAAATCACAATTTTAAATTTTGTAACTTAAAATTCATGTGAATTTGCTTTACACATAAGAGAGAGTACGAAAGACATGAATTAATACTTTTGCGTTTCAACCATTTGATCAATTGAACAATGTGCTTTCATCTTTTTATCTCACATGTTTGGAATTATGATATGAGCATACGAGTGCAAAAGTTGCAGAAATACTTGTTTCATTTGAGTCAATATTTCAGGTATTGCAGTTTCCATGTAAGTTTGTCTTACCCTTTAGACTTCAAACGAGATGTTCATCTGGAGTTTTGAATCATTGTTCTCTAAAATTTAGCATATGAGGTATTTTTCATCTCATCAAAACAACAAAGTTTTTCTTCACTTGCAAGCAGAGTGGAAGAACGTAAATTCTTGAGAGGATTTATGTTGACCTTAGCAAGTACCATGCTGGTTCTGTCGTGTTCTAAACGACGTGATAAACAAGCAGGACTGCTCTTAGCTCGGACGAAATCTGATTTTATTTTAATGTTTGAGGTTGGAAGACCTCCAGACACTGGTGTTAGAACTGTGCATGCCTGACAGTCGAGGTAGAAGAACAATCATACCAGCAGTTGAAGACCGCGAGTCCTCGTGTACTCTGTACCCATGACATTATGATTAGAAAAATGATTTCCCACAAAGTTGATCAGTTTCTGAACCTACGATATATGCAGAGTAATGTAGACTACTGTACCGATCGTCAAAGCAAGAAAAACGCGCAAGAGACTTTACACACCAAGCTGACAACCCATGTGCCTCTCAGTTGTACGAATACAACCACTTGCTTGAATAGATCAAAGATTCTTTTAATCTCTGTGCTCAGCGTGACGACATCGACTGTATCAGCACACTGATGCATTCACTGAATCTTCACGTTCACTTGCACAACAAAGTCAAGATTTACTCTGACCTTCTCAGAACATTTTCCAATCACTCCGAGTATGGAGGAACACGCGTGTTGTGTTAGTATTGTCTTGACCTCGATCATCCAGACAATATAATGAGAGGATCTGATGAGTAAGCTGCAAATTTCTACTCGCTACGCTTCGGAGGGTCTGTGTTCCCGTGGGTGTTGATGCAGCTAGATTCCCATTCTTCCAGTCCGATTGTACATGGAGTTTTCCACAAGGTAGAGTACTTCCCATCTGAGATATCTGAGTTTCCATGCTTTCTTTGACATTCTGCATGCACATCGCACCATCGATACGAACCAGTTTTTTGGATTTCAGATTCACTTGCAGAGCTTTTAGCTTGTCCACTCAGTTGGGTCACCAGAGCTAATCAAACAACTCTTTTGGATTTCAGATTCACCTGCAGAGCTTTTAGCTTGTCCACTGAGTTGGGTCACCAGTGCTAATCAAACAGCTCTCTCCGTTAAACTTCACAAAAGGTTTGTTTCCCGAGAGATATAAAGTCCCCATTGCACACTCTCTACAATTTGCTTTGGAACCGGAATATTGATTATCTGCTTTGATTTTGATTCACATCTCTTGTATTGCCCAGCACTGAGTGCGAGCAGCGTCTTACTTCTAGTTTGCACAATATCCCTACGTTCATGGTGATTGCTCCTGATCCGAATCGTTGCAGAGGTAAGATTAATCTTATTTTTCTCTTCATGCAGGTCGCAAGAAGTGTCATGCCCAGCAGGCACAAGTTTTGACACTGCGACGGGAAGTTAATTCTCTTCGGGTGAGCCGATCCTTCGGATTGAGGAGGGGCTCCTGAAGCCCAGGTGACATTTCGCTCGCGTATGCCAAGCAGCAAACCTTTCTTAATCTCTGAGAGTGGAGGAGAGAATGGAAGGTGCAGGTGCGTCCATCTTCAGTCACGCTGCTGAACTGGCGACACGGGAAATGGACTCCGCACACGAGGAACCGGAGCTTCCCTCCGCCATCCAGGACCTTGTACAGCGTCTGGAAGGACAAGGCGAGCCTATAACGCAGCTTCCCAATTTAAGAGACCCAGAATTTCGGGAGTTCTTTCCGGAGTTTGTAGGACCCTGGACAATCATAGGGGGGATAAGCCAAGTGCGTCGTCGAGTGCTGGAGGCAATCGGCAGCTGCAACACCTTTGAGATTCTGGACGTGCACCATATTTGTGATGGAAATATATCGAGGTTGACGCCAAGCGAGTGGGAGGTAGTTCTCAGAGGTTTCAGGTCGAGCACCGTTCTAGAAAAGATAATCGTTCATGGGACATACCTGGGTAGATATGCGGATAGTGAAAGCTTGTGTTTCCAGCTGGGGAGAATTCTGAATTCCTCTAGCGTAACAGAGTTAAAACTGGGTGGGAGATTGAGTGCCAGATGTCTCTCGAATCTCGCCTCAGGTCTGCGAGGACGTTCCGATTCTAAACTCAAGTCTTTAGATTTAAGGGTATCGTGGGAGGACTCGAGTGGGGTGAAGAGTGCGGTGAAGTATGTGGCTGACATGATCAATAGTGCTCCTCTATTAGAAACGTTGCGTTTAGGCGGACGTTTAGGCGGCTGTTGGGAGTACATGGAGGACGAGACCGTTGGAATCCTGTCCCAGGCTTTGAACCAGAGCTTGGCTTTGAAAGAATTTACCTTAGACCAGGCGGGGGAGTGGGCAGGGCCCTTGTTGCTGAAAGCATTGGCCGGAGACGATCGCAACCGATCCATTGAACGTCTTCGGCTATTGTATGTGGAAGGACTCGGAGACTGGTTAAGGGAACTTCTTATTTCCAACCCATCATTGAAGGAAGTGGAGCTCCACCCACTTAGCATGGAGCCTGAGAAAGCGCACCAGCTCGGCGAAGCCATACATGACAATGCCATAGCGACTACTATACTTGTTAGGTTTAAATCCAAGTTTGATGAAGACTGGGAGTCAGTGGAAGCTCTTGCTCGTTCTGCTAGCTCCGAAGTCAACGACCCCACTCTGGAGATTACACTCCATGTTGATACTAAAAAAGAAGTGATGTTATCATTAAACCTGTTAGGTAGGGTACTGCGCGGGGAAATCACATCTCTGAAATCTCTTAGTATATCAGATCGCTTTTCCATCCTAGAGAGACCGGAAGGTATTCTGTCGATGAACGGAAGAACTGGAGAAACTTGCGTCCTGAAGAGACTCCGATTAAGTGCTCTAAGCGAACATGTTTGGAATGGAGTATGGAAGGACCTGCTTTTGTGCCTGCGAGGGAACACAAGTCTCACTCACTTGGATTTGAGTAAGACCTGGCTGGACGAAGAGACGTTCAGGGACATGATGGGGCTACTCCAACAGAACTTGAGTCTCCAGGAAATAAATGTCTCAGAAACCTCATGGGCTATAGACGGAAAGGCGGCGCTGATTCAAGAGGCACTCAAGCAGAACGAGAAGCGGGCCGCCTACATGTCCGTATTTAGAGAAGCCGGATTAGCATTTAGAGATGCAAAAGCCGGTCGACTCTTTCTATGCGGCTCTCCTCTAGCAGGTAACGTGCTCTGTAACCTCTCAGCTTTTTGAACTAGCAATCTAAGGTTTTACTTCTCCAAAATTTATCCTATAGTAAAAAAAGTTCATTTTTCTCTCTACACATATTTGGAATAGTTTAAAAAGTTTTAAAGAATTGAAGAACAATTATTTTACCATCCTAATTAATTGAGATTATAAATAATATCTATTCAATCATTTCAAATTTTGAATTGATATTCAAAACTTTTACCAATACTCTTTATCCATTTGAAATAATAGTATCAAGTAATCTGTAAAAATATCTCAAGTTATATTTGTTGTGGTTATTTGTACTCAATTTGCAGGCAAGACTCAATTGCGTCAAACCTTGATGAGGATAGTTGAAGGCAAAAGTTGGCTTGGAAACAAATGGAACAAGTTGTTTAGAACTAAAGGTATCGAAGTGGAGTACTTGCAAAACAACGACAAAAGGCAAATTTCAATCTGGGATCTTGCGGGGCAAGAGATTTTTCGTACCCTTCAAACTGTTCTCTTTCCTCAATCCAACAATTTTTGTGTTTTTTTATTTGTGTATAGCTCTTTTTGTGAGAACTCAGCTTCTAAAAAAGAAGACTCTTGTTTTCGGACAGAGTTGGAGGAATGGATGAGTTTTATCACATCCAGCTCTAGGGTCACGGGACATAATCGTCCGCAAGTTCTTGTTGTGATTTCACACAAGGACAAAAGCAAATCCAGCTCTTTGACTTGGGCTCACTCAATAGTGAAAGATGTCAACCAAAGATTTGCAAAATTTGTGGATCTTCATCCAATTCAAGAGTGTTTTTATGTAGATACGAGAAAAAAGAAGCAAGTTATAGATCTCAAAGATTATATTTTTGAGATTTTTGACAAGTTGTTGAGTGAAAAATCCCCACGGGTTCCCCAATTGTGTTCCCGACTCTCTTCCCTCTTGGCTACAAACATCAAGGAGAACAGAAGTTGCCCTATTTGGTTACCTCAAAAGTTTAATAAATTCTGTGACCCCATCTTGACAGAGTTCATTTCATCCTCTTCAGCTTTTGCCATTGATCATTCAAGGATATTAAATTCGATAGTATCTTATTTGAATGACGTTGGATCCATAGTTTATATTCCAACCCTTAGTTACATCATTGTAGATCCAAACTGGCTCACTAATACATTATTGGGTGAGCTGGTAGCTCTGGGTCAAAAATTTCATGCTCAAGAGCACGAAAGTAAGTCGCATTCCTCATACTCCAGCAAGGACGGATTTGTGAGCGAGAGTGTCTTTGTGGGATTGATAGAGGAGTTTCTGGGAAAGCAACCGCATGGACAGATTGGTGTGGACAGAGATGTGATTGAGAACATCCTTATCCATTTAGATTTGTGTTTCAAGGTGGAAGATACTTCTCAGTTTTATTTCATTCCCTCCTTCATACCGGAGCATGCAAGCAATGAAGAACAGAAGCCTCAAGAAGGGAAGGACTTGGAGTCGATGGCTTGGGAAAGTAGGGGTGAGACTTCACAGTTTGTCGGCATCCGGATTCAATGCCAAGATGGAAGAACAATGTCATTGACCGCTGCTTTTTTCCCGTGCTTCCAGGTGATTTCATATTTATTGTGAGAAAATTGAATGCTTGGAGTTCTCATTGTAACTTGTGTTCGATGAATTTTCCCTTCTCATTAGTTGAATTCAATTTTGTGGAATGCGCAGCTCAATATTTACCAAATTTTGTATCATTGTAGATGTTCATGAGACGCAAGTTGATATCGGAGATGCGTGTCTCCAAGAAAACAGTGACCTGCTCTCGACAGTATCTGCGACTTTTTCTTGATGGACACGAGATCTACGTCGAGCAAGGAACGTCCCACAATTACATGGATGTTTTGATGTTACGCTCAAAGCATAAATCACGGTCGGAGGCTCTGCAATACTTGATGAAGCATATTGTCCAGGTGTTGATATCATTTTGCGCATCATCCAAAGGCTGTCCTGGGGTGGCTTTAGTGCTCAGTGTGATCCAAACATCTTGCGTGGAGATGTTGATTCCAAGTCATCTCAGAGGAGCCATTCTCATCGAGGAGCTCAAATCAAACTTCATTGATAGCATCAATGACAAACTTGAGGATATTCAGTTGGATAGGTTTCACATGGAGAAGGAGGAAGCGTTGTTCAGCTATGAGCACTCTTGGCCCTCGATTGAAGGACACACAGGGGTAATTTTCGAAAGCGCTAGAGATTTGTTGTGGGAGAGCGATGTTGAAGCGGTTGTGAATGAGATCCGACAGAAGCGAATGCAACAATTGGAGTCATTGCAGCAAGGTTTAATCGAAGTGAACAATGACTTGAATCATTCTCATCCTGAAAATGAGAACATGGTTAGCAGATCAAGTTTTCCTGATATGAAACAATCCAATCGACCTTCATCCATGTGCTTAAGTCGGGCAAGCACAAATGTACAACATGGTTCTATCGGACTTGAGAACAAGATCGATCAACTAGTACAAAAGGTTGATGGTTTGGATCAGAGGTTGAGATTGATGGATATCAAGGTGGAACAGATACTCTCTTTGCAACAAGAAGTGAAGTCAACGTTTAGCGCCTTCATGTCTAAAGTGGACAGGATCATTGAGTATCCTCAATCGCTTCAGCAGGCTGGAACTCCCAAACGACCATATGTCAAGGATGATGTTGGACTTTTCTATAAGATGAGTGCGCATCTGCATGTTGGAAAAACCGTTCGGTTACACTTGATGTGTGAATCGGCTACTGGATTTCACATAGTCAAAGATCAAGAAGGTTTAAAGATACGCGTGGATCTGAATAATCGCGCATGGATTAGCAAAACCATTGAAATCTCACTCAAAGTCATGTATTATGCTGTGAAGGCTGGACTAGATGTAACCTTCGGGTTGGGCCAAGCGATTCCGGACTGGGCAGATTTAAAATCTGATATTGTTAAACTAGATGGCATTAGCTATAGTGATCGTAGTGCAGTTTTAAAAGGTGGGGAAAGCATGAAGCTCAAAGAAGCATGGCTGAGGATTCAGCAAACTCTTGCGCCCCAGCTTCGAGACCGCTATTCGACAATCTTCAAGTTGTATCAGGTGAAATATGTGAGACTAGAATTAGGTGGGCATGCATGGGTGTGCGAGGAGTGCATGAGTAAAGGTATTAGAGCTCGCATTTTGGTAGTAAATTGAAGACCTTAGAATGTCATGATGTATCATGACATTCTGTTGACAAGCATAGGTTTAGACACTCATGCAATATGAACCTCTGCAAAATCTTCCTTAGAGTTTTCACGTGTAACAATCTTTTATAATATGTGCAATCATGTCAATCGCGCAGTTATGGTTCTGAAGAAGATCAGATTTTGGCTAAATTATCACTAGTTTATCGTAATGGTCTTGTTTGCAGTCCATCAAATTGGATAGTTTATTTCGTGAAGCTCAAGAGTAGCCCTATTTGGGCTAAGTGGACCGCGACAACGTAGACATTGGTGAGGCAATCTGTGTAGTACTGCGCACAGATCGTAGAGATGTGACTGCGGACATTGGCAATGTCCGCAGTGAACGCGACGAAGCAATGTCACATTGCTTCGTCGCGTTGTGGATCTGAGGAGTATCTGTATGTAAGTCATCTGAAAAATTATTTTCGTCGACCTTGACAACCTCTTACCTGTCATATCTCGACATGTCTCAGGTCTAAGATATATATCCAAGATCCTGAGACGATAATAGATTACTCCCATGTAGATAGGGATGGGCACGGCTCCGCTAACAAAAAATATAAGCCAGCTAGCCGATAAATATTTGCCACCTCTATCCGAGGCCGAAAACGAACCATAAACTCGGACCGAACTAACGATTTCGCCCGATTATTTCCTCAACTTCGACCAAAATTATCCAATAAACATTTATTTCGGACGAATATTTCCGTTGATTACATTTTCGGGCGAGAGCCGATTAGCCGACGGCTAGCCAGCTAAATTTGAGGCCAAGCCGGCTAGCCGAAAGTTAGCCGGCTACGTGCCCATCCCTACATGTAGATGCCAGACAAGAACTAGCCGCTCTCTACTGCCTGGAAGTGCACTGAGCTTATCTCGTCTCATGTAAAAGTTGTACAGGACAACAGAGTATTCAACAGAGAACTCAGAGAAACTCCTCCTTACAATCGAGCACTCCATGGGAAATAATCTTCACCATCAACGTAAACTTTACTGAAGAAATCTGGCGCAGACAGATTCACAAACAGACGCCGCCAACCAAAGTGAGGATGGCAATTTTCTCCTACATGCGGTCGTTCGGGCCTAAGCTGCGAACTTGAAGAATACATGAAGGGGAACCTCCCGGAACCTTCCTCAGGAACCCAGCTACTCGACTTACAGGTGAATTAAAGTGAAGACGAAACCGAATTATTCTAATCCTGGACTAGGATTGCACAATGAAGGTACTGATATGAATCCCATCAGCAACCAGCTCTTCGTATTGTTCACACAGTGTTTCTTCAATTGGACAGAAGATAGGGATGAATATATCATCGTACTCCAAACGCTGAGTGATATCTCGTGGTCATATGAAAAGCTCGTCCGGCCCAGTAACTTTACTTTCCCCTTCTGTCTGCGTCCGACTGCCATGTGAAATTCATGCTGCCTCGTCTGCTGTTATCTGCTTCAGTTTCTCCAGAGCTGCACGTCCAGCACAATGCAACATACCCACTGTAAGGTAATTGTGTGAAGCTAGAGAAGTACCGAAAACGAAACAAAGCAAAGACAGCGTAGGTTCGAAAGTTCTGAAAATATCACATCCCATTGCATTGGTCCGAAGCAGCTTTACGATTAAGTACAATATCAGACACAGGTGGTTATCTAGACAGAGCTGCCTTCAGCCCAGAAAGAAAACCACACCCTGTGTGAGACGCGTACCTTCAGTGTAAGACTCATAAAGCTCTTCGGTGACAGATGACGGCAGTGAATAGTCCTTGCACTTGCTATTGTCCACTTTCTTCAACATCTGTTTGAAGTGTCGTACCTGCGCAAACATCCCCAGGTTACAGATCAACGCACATAGCGGGTTAGATGACTGCAGGCCGTTATGCACAACCGAAAAACAAAGACAACAAGACGATGGTCTGCGCTGAATAAGCCAGAGCAACATGGGAGGAAGCGGATACAGCGCTATTGAACTTGTTATATGGAATGTAGATCAAACTACTTTGTGGTTTATGCATGTTCAGAAAGCGAACCTCCTCCTTCTGAAGAAGAGTATAAGAGCTCCCGGGCTGTCCGGCTCGAGCAGTGCGCCCAACACGATGGACGTAGGTCTTTGCGTACACAGGCATATCATAATTGACAACGTTTGCAACACCTTCCACATCCATACCCCTTGTCATCGCATCTGAGGCAATGAGCACTTGTGCCTGGCCATTCTGGAATTTTGCCAACGCTTTACTGTAAAGCATAATATAGAGGCAAGTCATTAGGATTATTGAAGCCAGCTACGAATGTCGAATAACAAACGAACGAAACCGAGGCAAGTCATTAGGATTATTGAAGCCAGCTACGAATGTCGGATAACAAACGAACGAAACCGACTTGGGCATTCACCCCAAGCTCAATAAATCATAAGAAAGAGGAAATAACCTGCGACTTAGAGGTCTGTATGTAGAAATATATACTTATTAGTTATTTGGTCTACATAACCCATCAAAAGCACACACGTGTTGGACAAACCTTTGGGGTTGTTAATGCTGCAAGCTTGAGTACTCAAGCACCTTGAACGACAATCCTTTGTAGCATTTTAGCAGAGTATATAGTTGATGAGTAGCCACTACAGAAGCAGTGAAAACAACGGTTGTTTGGCTGCAAAGCTGTTGCAAGAGTGCTACCAAATATAAGGGCTTCTCTCCCGGTTTGCAGACCTGCAGAGATGTTCAGGACAACAATTTCTGTTACGGATCATGCGATGCAGGTTTGAACAAACACAAGCTCCAAGGCTACGTGAACTAAATTGAGTCAGCAACAAGTTATGGTGGCAACGTGTGTGAACAGAGATACGTACCATCCTGTAAGACTTAAGTTGTTCTGGTAGTTGATACCGGTTGCCAGCAGCACCAAGCGCCACATATATGGGGCAGAAAAGACCAAGTTGTGCAATTTTTGCTGGATCTCTCGTCAAGGTAGCCGATAACACCATCTTCATCAATCGTGGGAGTGCAGTGCCTCTATTTCCTCTTTCACCACGGAAAAAACTCACGAGAAATTGTAGGTGCTGAAGAGTGAACCCTTTTGTATTTCGAATATGGTCCATCAAGCGCCCTGGAGTTGCAACAAGTCTGTCAACTTGGCTTTCGGCAAGGTCGGGAGTTGCAGCCTCAGATTTTCCAAAACTGTGGACCATCGACTTACGAATCTGAACCAATTCAGCCGCTTCAGCTACAATTGACGTTTGTCCCACAGCTAGTCCCACTGAGAGACCAACTGCTGGTGCGATGGTGTCAAAGACTGCTGTAACCTGAAGAAACGAGATTACCAAGGTTGAAGGCCTTGGTAAGATCTTGTGAAACTGTGACACCTTCCGGGTAAGAAAAAAAAGTGCATACAGTGACATGAGAGAAACGTACCTGCTCGATCGTCTCCAGAGTCATTTTCCGAGCAATCTCATCCTACGCATAAGCTTTCGGAGATTTCCGATAGATTTTCCTTGGAAGTTGGTCCAATACGATCACAAGAGCAAGCCTACTGCGCACACTATCTTTCCATCCATCTAGGGCCCCTTCGGCTGCTAAGTTCACACACTCGCCAAACTTCATCTCCACCTGAATAATGCATGTTACGACTTTCAGACCAAAACAAATAAAGCCTGCCTACTTACATGACTACTGTCTTAATCTCTAAGCTTAGACCACTCACACTCTTCAGCCATAAACATGGTGGAAAACGGTGTTAAGAAAACTTTCAAGGGGAAAAAATATGTAGCACCAAATCCTCGAGGTCCTCAAAACATCCAATATTCAGAACTCCACTGAACAGAGAATGTGATTCAGTGCAATTCAGAGCTATACTTAAGTTCGTCAAGTTGCCATGTATAACATATTCAATAGATGGATTGAAAAATCTCTAGTAGATGAACCACAAATAAGGTTGATGGACAGAGTAAGAAGTCAGTCATAAGCTTCTTTCCTTAAGAAGCTCTAAATAGTCGGTAATGCGAAATGGTGTCAGGTCCGAAGGTTGACTGACTTTCATATACAGGACTCGGTTGAGGTAGTTTGTAATAATCTCCCTCGTCAGATTGCTGATCCGAATGGTCAACATGTTTCAAAAGAGAACACCAACGCGAAGTGCTCCCTTCCTGTGCTCCCAGTCTAACGCCTTACAGGTTTTAGAACGTCAGGTTCTCCTTAAAGCCTCTTCGAGAACCTCTGAAGAGGCTTGATGGTAAGTGGTTCAATTCTTGATTTTCCTCGGAAAATGTCAAAAGGACTGTTCATTCACGCCAGAGATTCCCTGACATGTACTCATCGTCCATGTAAGGACTAAGATGAGGTTCACGAGGTCCAAATGGAACATCTCATTCTATGATTCGAAGAGACAGAGTGAGGGTCCAAGATTACCTCTCGGTCGAAATCAGGACCACGCATGAACCAACTCTTACTCGCAAACACATTCTTTTCCGCATCTACGTCTCTGTGCCTGGAAAACGCTAACACCAGTTGTTGTTGAATCATGAAACCATCCAGTATCATCAAATTCGCAAGCTGCCTTCCGGGGTTTGTGGGAGCACAGGAAGGGAGCACTTCCGGGCCTCATTCGTTGGAGGGAGTAACGCTTGATTCTGAAGCACTCGTGAACACCGTGCGACGGCACCCCTTATACCTTCGTGCTGTCTTAAAGAATTAAATAGATTTAAACCTTGTTCCTGTTGCTTGAACCCAACTCAAATTCGCAGGCACACGCGTTGAATCATCTCTTTCACCAGGCAAGATAAGATCGGGTCGTCAAAGCTGGATTTGATATACTCCACCCTAAAACCCTAAACCCTTCTCTATTGAAACTGCAAAGACATCAGAAGCTCTCTTCCAACTGGCCCATTTGAAGAACTGCAAAGCCGATTATATTACAGAGGGATATACTAAGAGCGAAGACTCATGAGCGTTAAGTACGAAATGAGGAGATTGCAATGCTTAGGACTTCTGATGGGCTAGCCAGTCTCGAGGAGATGACTTTAGAGTGCAGTCAGGTGTTGACAGGAAGCCAGACTCATCAGCATTGAGTGAACTGAAACGCTCGATAATTAATTGCTTCGTGAGTAAAGAACAAGGGTTTACAAACCAGAACTGAAGCACGTCTTCCAAAGTGACCGTGCAAGAGCTCAGAGATGGCCCAGAGTTGCTGAAGCTGGCGGCAACCAAATGACTCCACGCAGGATTTGACCGGGAAGCACTGTCTGTGCTAGGGCGGCGCATCATTGTCAAAACTGGATTTCCACGATCGAGAGCTTCAGTAAAGACTAACGACAGACGACTGGATCACTCTGGACGGCAAAATATAACTCTGCGCACTGGCCCCAATCTGCCCATCACCATGTCGTCCCCCGAGACGAACTCAGCTCATCAGGATGAAACAGTGCAAAATCTTCGCAGGTGATGTGTAAAATTTAGTGCTTTGAAGATGAAACTTATTAAACATTTGCTGAAAACATGGAAACATGATAGACAAACCTGGATGCAATCGTGGATGTTGACGATTAAACCGTGCAGTAAAATCCATCCTCACTTGCAGCGGCGATGATGAACGCACTTTTGCCAGCTGCCCTGCAGTCGACGCACCCCCATCTCCCAGTCGCGGTTTGAAGCCAGAACCAATCCGCAACCTCTTCTCGAGAAACGACAAAAACTGTCTCTCCATCCGCCACCTTCGTCCTGCCCTGGATGCAAGAACGAAATTCACAGACCCCATCCCTCCCTCCCTCCCTCCCTGAACTGCCAGGCAATCTGATTTCCAGCTCCAAAAGCAAACCAAAATCGTCTGCCAACACTTTCGTTCGACCAGCCACAGAGAGAGAGAGAGAGAGAGAGAGAGAGAGAGCACTCCTCGCCTAAAGCAGCCGTCGATCACTGAACTCCATCACTCCCACCAAAACTCTCCCACTGAGCTCACTCACTGCTGCACTACCCCGAACCAAGGCACCTGAGAACACAGCACCACCTCGTTGGCTGGCTGGGTGCAGATCGTCGTCGAGGGCTCATGAACAGGCCGGCCGTGTCCATGAACATCGGGCGGCAGCGTTGACAAATTCGCGACCGCAAGTCGCAATGCGCAGTCGAGGCCGTGGCCTTCGTCTCACATCTGCCAAGTGGAACTCTGTACTCTCGGGTACAGAGCTCCGTCGCGCTGACCTCAGAAGCGTACCTCACGGGACCAGAGCCCCTTTCCACGTACGTATCCGAAGCGTACAACCCGAAGCGTACATCGCCTGAGACACATTGCCGAAAACACGACTACAGACTTCGGGAAGAAGTCCAGGGAATATTCTGAAATTCCCGATGACCGGTCGAGATTTCGGGATGGGTGCTCATGGAGACCGAAATGTAGGGTACCCTAGATGTCGGGCTGCTATAATGAAAGATTAATATGAACTCTGCTGGGCCGCAGGGAGATCGTCCTTCTCTGTCGTTGTATGATGGCAGCAGGCTCCATGCACGACGAGCAGGTCGAGGTCGAGGAGTGTGGCAATCGCATTCTTCTGTGGGCTTTTGGCATTCGGAGGCGCCATGACATGAACCGAAGTTTAGTCGGCATGTCGTCGAGCAGTTTGGTGGAATTTGGGCGGAAGGTTCCGGCGGCAGTTGGTTGGCGTGGAGATGAGGATGGTGGGATGGGTCGAGACGACGAGAGATTGTGGAATAGGGAGGCGATGGGGTTTCTTTAGGTGAGACGAGGAAGAGGGCGGCAAGCGAGAGGAGGCGGAGGACGAGGACGAGAGAGTGATCGAGTGCCGTCGGTCGGAGGGAGAGAGGAGAGCCTGGAGCGGCGGGGTATGGATATAAGACAGGTCGCCTTGGGCGCGGCTTTCGGCGCTGCGGTGGCCGTGAATGCTGCACTACAGTCGCTCCAAGATGCCGGCAGCTTCCTCATTCACAGTCCCGGTCCCAGTTCCAGAAGTCGGCCCGTGGATCTTCTGGACGCCACCACTCGCGATGCGCGTAAGCGCCCTCTGAGTTTTGTTGATGATGTGGAGTACGACGAGGACGATTTTGACGCTTTCAAGAACAACGACGAAGATGAAGCCCGTTATTGTCCCGCCCTCTCCCTCCTCTGACAGACCATCTTTTCGTGCATGAAGGTTTCCTGGTTTCTCTATCATGCAGAAGAAAACGTGCATTCTGTACATAGAGCGGAAATCTCTCTCGATGAAAGCATTTGCCATCCATTTAAGATTTTTTACTCCACATTTGAACGTCGTGTTATACATTGTTTTAATTAGTCGTAGACCTAAACATTCAACTAGAGTAATTGGTTGGCAATAATGCAGACAGTGCTAGCCTTGACGGGCCGACATTGACCATGATCTAGTGCATACCTTGACCTCTTTCGTCTGAAACCCAAGGAAGTGTGAGGATTACAGCAAGCGGTATTCTTGCGTATACTCCATGTCGAACATTCACTGAAACCCATACCCTGGCACGAATTGATGAGGCCGCAATTTGTTTGGTTCTGTAGGTGGACCCAGTGGCGGAGCTAAGTGGGGGTGCAGTGGGGGGCACGACCCCCTCCGGTCGAGAAATTCCCCTCCCCTTCGGAGCAAATTTTCCTAGCCCCCCCTTTCCCCGCAATAATTTGGAAAATCGGTAAGGACTTGTGAACGGGTTTCCACCCTCACGAAGTCTCAACTACAATCTGCTATGGGATATGAGGTTGCAAGCAGACACGAGGGCGAGCACACCAAAAACTCGAGAGTAACCCAGCGATATCGTTCATCTGCCGGCTCCATACTTCGGAATCCAAACTCACTAACGCAAGGATCGACAACCCAATCTCCAACAGCCTGTGCCACTCTCCACCTACCCCGAATTTCTAAACGCTACCTCCACCTAAACGCTTTGTACATCACCTCAATCCTCCACTTCACAGTCGTAGAAGACTCGGAGAATAGACAGTCGGCCCCATAATATTGACTTTCAATCTGATAAAACATCCTTAAACCATGAGCAGGCTGTGGGGATTCCGAGGCTTGCTATGGAGTGGTCCGGCCCCGAAATTCTTGAGCCAACCCCCGAAGCTCGAAGATGGAGCAGCTCCGCCGACCTCGGCCTCGACTCCACTGGTTACAAAGTGGAACAAGCAGGCTGCCACGGCAGCAGAAATCTGTGTGCTCCTTCTCACCGGCGACTGGAAGGGGCCAGTGGATCGCAGTTAGGCTCGGGAAGGTAAAGTGAAATACTTTATTAATGTTATCAAAGCTCACCGCATATAGTGGTATCTTGGAAAAACACTTTCCACTAATAAAAGTGTATGTACTAGTTTCTAAGTTCAACGTTCCTTTTCCCGTGGGTCCCTGGAATAACCAGAAGTTATAAGGCAGCTTCTGCGTTGAAACATTCAGGTTAGATGACGGTCGCTTTGGAATGCGTGTTAAAGGAAGATAAAGCAGAGGCGTGAACTTTTTGACTTTGCAGTTGAGTCATTGACTTGTTGGCTATGTTCCCACAATAAAGATCAGAAGTATCCAGTCCAGCATCTTCACTTTCTTCTGCGGAGTAAATTGAATACAAGTAGGGGATGAGAAGTAGTACAGTATTCTGAATAACTTCCGGTTGGAGTTGAGGAATTTAATATATATATAAAAGTTTCTGGACCAGTGAGTAAAAAATGAATTACATTGTGTATTTTCTAGAAGACCTTGCAACAAAGTCAATGCCAACAATTATTGTTGGAGCTGTGTTGCAAGAAACTTTTCACTTGTAGGCAAAAGCTATTCCTAGGGTAAGGTAAATTTTTCCTACATTTACACCCATGCAGAATCCATGAATTCTAGCGGTACCAAAAGTCAGAATACCCCCAAAAAATCAAAAAACACAGGAGGAAAAAAGAAAAAAAGCATTTCCTGTAATCTGACATAACATATTTCGGAAAATATGATTTAATACCAGTGTGGTTGTCTACTGTAAATTCTGAGGGAGTTAATTAAAAAAGGATTGATATACAGGCTGCAGTAATAGAGGTCCATAAGTTCTTGCATGTGCCCACGCTCAGATCGCCTTAGTACGCATTTTGAGACAATTTGCTCGCTTGAACAACAAGACAACTCCTTGGAATCGGCGTGCCTGGCAAGGTGGTGCAGATTTGCAGATACAGCAGCAGACCTGTTTCTGGTGGCAAGATTGATGACGTGGTGAGGTTGGAACTGGTGAAGAGTCTGTCATCTAACCACCACGAACTCAGCATGCTTTTTCTGTATGCATGTTCATTCATTTTAGCCTTGCAAAATTTAATTTAAACAAATCATCCAGTCCGCCATGGACTCCGTGAAAGTCAAAACACCAAAAGGTGATGCAGATTCGAGAGAGGTTTTTAGTTTCCACTATAGCACTTCCAGAAAAACTCTTCTTCAGCATTGCCCACTTCAGTAAATGGCACACGGTCAACTAGAGTTACATATGAGTCCGCAGAACTTTGGATAGTACTGTATGAAGTGGGTTCGGCTGCTGGACTATGAATGGTTCCTAGATTTTTTTTCATCGCCATGCATCTCCGAGCCCCATGTGACTCAAGGTGGTACAGTTATTTATACATTGGAATCTCGAAGGTGTTGTCCGGAAAACTATATTCTCGATGTCACAAGGACACATGTTTCGAAATTATATTATATCGAACTCAGAAGCTTCATAGCGCTGTCATTATTCCCACATGGTGAATAAATTTTTACTCAGAGCTTGTCGCCGCATTCCAGAAGAACAAACATCAGGCCGTCAGTTATGATGTAGAGTTGCTGGTGGAACACAGTTTGGAGATGTTACATGTTTCATACCATTCTAGATAATCACCCCAATATCATACTTGAGCTAATCTATGCGATTCAGCTTGATTTTCACTATTCCCGTAACCCAGCAGCTTGATAATACTCACGCGTAAGAGAGAGGAGAGGCTTCTTCATGATTGCTTTGGAAGCAGCGTCATAAGCGTTCAGCCTCTTCGAGGATGGTTGTACTCAGTCGCACCAATCTCCATAAACAAAATTCTCAGTTTCATTGTGACAACGTGGCTAGCATTACTTCGTTCAGACTGATAAAAGTGTATATACCAGTTTCTAATGTCAAAGTTACTCTTGTGGGTCCCTGGAATAAACCGAAGATATAAAGAAGTTTCTCATCTAAGTTGAATATTTCAACTTAGATGAGGGTCGGCTTGAAATGTGTGTTAAAGGAAGATAAAGCGGTGGCGTGAACGGTTGGACTCTACAGTTGAGTCATTGTATGGTGCGTTGCATTTCACTTTGTTCTGCGGAGTGAACTGGAGGTTCTAAGTTCCACCTGTGGGTCCCTGGAATAAGCCGAATATATAAGTAAGCTTCTGCTTTGGAATATTCAACTGAGATCAAGGTCAGAGCTAAAGTGATTTGTTTTACTCTCCAGTTTAGACATTGTACTGCGCGTAATACTTGTTTGGCAAGATACCACAATACAATAAAAAATATGTTCCGAGAATAGTTTCCAATGTGTATCGTTCCATTTAAAAATCCGATTATCTAATATCGCAGCAACGGTTAACAAAAATAAACAAGCCAGTCAAGATGCTGCTTCTGAAACATACTTGACTTGGCTGTTTGAAAAAGCAAAAGAAATTCGCGTACAAGTGAAGATTGCTTTTGAAGATACAACCTGTAGCATTCTGCATGATCGCTACATACTGTCATGGAATAAGTTGGAGAAGGTCTTATGTATCTGTGAGCATATCGTGTCTTGATTCTTATGAAGTGGACGGTGGGTTACATGTGGTTGAGTACTCCACAGTCAACATCAACGACCCTCTACTTTTCTGTACCACAATAAAATCAAAAGTATCCAACCAAGCATCTTCACTTTCTACTGCGAAGGGAACAGGAGTAAGTTGAATACAAGTGGAGAGTGAGAAATAATGTAGTGAACAATTTCCAGTTGGATTCTTGACAAATTTAATATATATATATATATATATATATATATATATAAATTTCTAAAGCACTGAGGCATAAAAAATTATATTGTGCATTTTTTAAAAGATCTTGCAATAAGAGTCAATGCCAACTATTGTTGCAGGATAGCTTTGTAGTCATGGGAGTGAATGCAGGACACTTTTTATGTGTAAGGTGGTGTGGGAAAAATGATCCCTAGGGTAAAGTAAATAATTTCTACAAGTACACCAATGGACACCTGCGGCAGAATTCACGAATATAGAGAATTCCCAAAAAAAGAATCAATTATCATAGTTGAAAAAAAACATGTCACGTAACGTAAGATGACATATTTTGAACTAATATTTGGTTGCATTTTAACTTTAGGGAGGGACTAAGTCATTGTTGGATATTATCTATTGATTCTTTCATCAACATTTGATCTTTTCAGAGCTAGTTCAACTTGAATGTATCATTCATCATCAAGATTTTTGTGTGTAGGCATGTAAGTGAAAGTCTGAAATAATTACTTACAATATTATTTCCACCTCAATTATTATTTCCAATATTACAAGTAAACATGTAACATCCACTGCCTATCTCATTTGTGTAGTTGTACTATTTGAGAATTATTCAGTTGTATTAATCTAGATGATGCATCTAAATAAACTGTCCAAGAATCAAAAAATTAGAAATAACCAAAACAGCTGAAAAATTTTAGAGTCAAAATCTCTAAAGCTGTGAATAAAATTTATATAAAATGTAAAATTGTAACTTTCATTGAATATGTCTTGTCAGAAACAAATTATTACACATTGTTTATGACTGAACATTTTCAGATTGAGGTATCATCAAATAAAGATGCTAAACATGCAACACATATAATAGAAAGGTATGAAATCACAATTTTAAATTTTGTAACTTAAAATTCATGTGAATTTGCTTTACACAAAAGAGAGAGTACGAAAGACATGAATTAATACTTCTGCGTTTCAACCATTTGATCAATTGAACAATGTGCTTTCATCTTTTTATCTCACATGTTTGGAATTATGATATGAGCATACAAGTGCAAAAGTTGCAGAAATACTTGTTTCATTTGAGTCAATATATCAGGTGTTGCAGTTTCCATGTAAGTTTGTCTTACCCTTTAGACTTCAAACGAGATGTTCATCTGGAGTTCTGAATCATTGTTCTCTAAACTTTAGCATATGAGGTATTTTTCATCTCATCAAAACAACAAAGTTTTTCTTCACTTGCAAGCAGATTAGAAGAAAGTAAATTCTTGAGAGGATTTACGTTGACCTTAGCAAGTATAATGCTGGTTCTGTCGTGTTCTAAACAAGCAGGACTGCTCTTAGCTCGGACGAAATCTGATTTTATTTTAATGTTTGAGGTTGAAAGACCTCAGACACTGGTGTTAGAACTGTGCATGCCTGACAGTCGAGGTAGAAGAACAATCATACCAGCAGTTGAAGACCGCGAGTCCTCGTGTACTCTGTACCCATGACATTATGATTAGAAAAATGATTTCCCACAAAGTTTATCACTTTCTGAACCTACGCTATATGCAGAGTAATGTAGACTACTGTACCGATCGTCAAAGCAAGAAAAACGCGCAAGAGACTTCACACACCAAGCTGACAACCCATGTGCCTCTCAGTTGTAAGAATACAACCACTTGCTTGAATAAATCAAAGATTCTTTAAATCTCTGTGCTCAGCGTGACGACATCGAGTGTATCAGCACAGTGATGCATTCACTCAATTTTCACGTTCACTTGCACAACAAAGTCAAGATTTACTCTGACCTTCTCAGAACATTTTCCAATCACTCCGAGTATGGAGGAACACCCGTGTTGTGTTAGTATGTTGTCTTGACCTCGATCATCCAGACAATATAATGAGAGGATCTGATGAGTAAGCTGCAAATTTCTACTCGCTACGCTTCGGAGGGTCTGTGTTCCCGTGGGTGTTGATGCAGCTAGATTCGCATTCTTCCAGTCCGATTGTACATGGAGTTTTCCACAAGGTAGAGTACTTCCCATCTGAGACATCTGCGTTTCCATGCTTTCTTTGACATTCAGCATCCACATCGCACCATCTTCGATACAAACCAGTTTTTTGGATTTCAGATTCACTTGCAGAGCTTTTAGCCTGTCCACTGAGTTGGGTCACCAGTGCTAATCAAACAACTCTTTTGGATTTCAGATTCACCTGCAGAGCTTTTAGCTTGTCCACTGAGTTGGGTCACCAGTGCTAATCAAACAGCTCTCTCCATTAAACTTCACAAAAGGTTTGTTCCCCGAGAGATATGAAGTCCCCATTGCACACTCTCTACAATTTGCTTTGGAACCGGAATATTGGTTATCTGCTTTGATTTTGATTCACATTTCTTGTCTTGCCCAGCACTGAGTGCGAGCAGCGTCTTACTTCTAGTTTGCACAATATCCCTACTTTCGTGGTGATTGCTCCTGATCCGAATCCTTGCAGAGGTAAGATTAATCTTATTTTTCTCTTCATGCAGGTCGCAAGAAGTGTCATGCCCAGCAGGCACAAGTGTCTTACTTCTAGTTTGCACAATATCCCTACTTTCGTGGTGATTGCTCCTGATCCGAATCCTTGCAGAGGTAAGATTAATCTTATTTTTCTCTTCATGCAGGTCGCAAGAAGTGTCATGCCCAGCAGGCACAAGTTTTGACACTGCGACGGAAAGTTAATTCTCTTCGGGTGAGCCGATCCTTCGGATTGAGGAGGGGCTTCTGAAGCCCAGGTGACATTTCGCTCGCGCATGCCAAGCAGCAAACGTTTCTTAATCTCTGAGAGAGGAGGAGAGAAAGGAAGGTGCAGGTGCGTCCATCTTCAGTCACGCTGCTGAACTGGCGACACGGGAAATGGACTCCGCACACGAGGAACCGGAGCTTCCCTCCGCCATCCAGGACCTTGTACAGCGTCTGGAAGGACAAGGCGAGCCTATAACGGAGCTTCCCAATTTAAAAGGGCAAGAATTTCGGGAGTTCTTTCCCTATCGTGAATCACTGTCGACAATCATAGGGTGGCGAAGCCAAGTGCGTCTTCGAGTGCTGGAGGCAATCGGCAGCTGCAACACCTTTGAGATTCTGGACGTGGGCAATATTTGTGAGGGAGATATATCGAGGTTGACGCCAAGCGAGTGGGAGGTAGTTCTCAGAGGTTTCAGGTCGAGCACCGTTCTAGAAAAGATAATCGTTTATGGGAAATACCTTGTGAATAATGAAAGCTTGTGTTTCCAGCTGGGGAGAATTCTGAATTCCTCTAGCGTAACAGAGTTAAAACTGGTTGGGAGATTGAGTGCCAGATGTCTCTCGAATCTCGCCTCAGGTCTGCGAGGACGTTCCGATTCTAAACTCAAGTCTTTAGATTTTTTGGTATCGTGGGAGGACTCGAGTGCGGTGAAGAGTGGGGTGAAGTATGTGGCTGACATGATCAATAGTGCTCCTCTATTAGAAACGTTGCGTTTAGGCGGACGTTTAGGCGGACGTTGGGAGTACATGGAGGACGAGACCGTTGGAATCCTGTCCCAGGCTTTGATCCAGAGCTTGGCTTTGAAAGAATTTACCTTAGACGACGCGGGGAAGTGGGCAGGGCGCTTGTTGCTGAAAGCATTGGCCGGAGACGATCGCAACCGATCCATTGAACGTCTTCGGCTGAGGAACATGAAGGGACTCGGAGACTGGTTAAGGGAACTTCTTATTTCCAACCCATCATTGAAGGAAGTGGAGCTCCACCCACTTCTCATGGAGCCTGAGCAAGCGCACCAGCTCGGCGAAGCCATACGTGACAATGCCATAGCGACTACTATACTTGTTAGGTTTGGATCCAAGTTTGATGAATACTGGGAGTCAGTGGAAGCTCTTGCTCGTTCTGCTAGGTCCGAAGTCAACGACCCCACTCTGGAGATTACAGTCCATGTTCATAGTGAAGATGAAGTGATGTTATCATTAAACCTATTAGGTAGGGTACTGCGCGGGGAAATCACATCTATGAAATCTCTGAGTATATTACATTACCAAGATAGACCAGAAAGTATCTTGTCTATAAATGGAAAAGCTGGAGAAACTTGCGTCCTGAAGAGACTCCGATTAAGACGTCTAAGCGAAGATGTTTGGAAGGGAGTATGGAAGGACCTGCTTTTGTGACTGCGAGGGAACACAAGTCTCACTCACTTGGATTTGAGTAAGACCTGGCTGGACGAAGAGACGTTCAGGGACATGATGGGGCTACTCCAAGTGAACTTGAGTCTGCAGGAAATAAATGTCTCGAGAACCTCATGGGCTACAGACGGAAAGGCGGCGCTGATTCAAGAGGCACTCAAGCAGAACGAGAAGCGGGCCGCCTACATGTCCGTATTTAGAGAAGCCGGATTAGCATTTGGAGATGCAAAAGCCGGTCGACTCTTTCTATGCGGCTCTCCTCTAGCAGGTATCGTGCTCTGTAACCTCTCAGCTTTTTGAACTAGCAATCTAAGGTTTTACTTCTCCAAAATTTATCCTATAGTAAAAAAAGTTCATTTTTCTCTCTACACATATTTGGAATAGTTTAAAAAGTTTTAAAGAATTGAAGAACAATTATTTTACCATCCTAATTAATTGAGATTATAAATAATATCTATTCAATCATTTCAAATTTTGAATTGATATTCAAAATTTTAACCAATACTCTTTATCCATTTGAAATAATAGTATCAAGTAATCTGTAAAAATATCTCAAGTTATATTTGTTGTGGTTATTTGTACTCATTTTGCAGGCAAGACTCAATTGCGTCAAACCTTGATGAGGATAGTTGAAGGCAAAAGTTGGCTTGGAAACAAATGGAACAAGTTGTTTAGAACTAAAGGTATCGAAGTGGAGTACTTGCAAAACAACGATAAAAGGCAAATTTCAATCTGGGATCTTGCGGGGCAAGAGATTTTTCGTACCCTTCAAACTGTGCTCTTTCCTCAATCCAACAATTTTTGTGTATTTTTATTTGTGTATAGCTCTTTTTGTGAGAACTCATCTTCTAAGAAAAAAGACTCTTGTTTTCGGACAGAGTTGGAGGAATGGATGAGTTTTATCACATCCAGCTCTAGGGTCACGGGACATAATCGTCCGCAAGTTCTTGTTGTGATTTCACACAAGGACAAAATCAAATCCAGCTCTTTGACTTGGGCTCACTCAATAGTGAAAGATGTCAACCAAAGATTTGCAAAATTTGTGGATCTTCATCCAATTCAAGAGTGTTTTCATGTGGATGCAAGAAAAAAGAAGCAAGTTATAGATCTCAAAGATTATATTTTTGAGATTTTTGACAAGTTGTTGAGTGAAAAATCCCCACGGGTTCCCCAATTGTGTTCCCAAATCTCTTTCCGCTTGGTTAAAAAAATCAAGGAGAACAGAAGTTGCCCTATTTGGTTAGGTCAAAATTTTATTGAATTTTGTGATCCCATCTTAACAGAGTTCATTTCATCCTCTTCAGCTTTTGCCAATGATCATTCAAGGATACTAAATTCGATAGTTTCTTATTTGAATGACGCTGGGTCCATAGTTTATATTCCAACCCTTAGTTACATCATTGTAGATCCAAACTGGCTCACTAATACATTATTGGGTGAGCTGGTAGCTCTAGGTCAAAAATTTCATGCTCAAGAGCACGAAAGTAAGTCGCATTCCTCATACTCCAGCAAGGACGGATTTGTGAGCGAGAGTGTCTTTGTTGGATTGATAGAGGAGTTTCTGGGAAAGCTACCGCATGGACAGAAAGGTGTGGACAGAGATGTGATTGAGAACATCCTTATCCATTTAGATTTGTGTTTCAAGGTGGAAGATACTTCTCAGTTTTATTTCATTCCCTCCTTCATACCTGAGCATGCAAGTGCTGAAGAACAGATACCTCAAGAATTGGCGGACGTGAAGCCGAAGGCTTGGAAACGTAGGGTTGAGACTTCAAAGTTTGTCGGCATCCGGATTCAATGCCAAGATGGAAAAACAATGTCACTGACCGCTGCTTTTTTTCCACGCTTTGAGGTGATTTTAAAGATAGTGTTAGAAAATTGAATCCGTTGAGTTCTAATTGTAACTTGTGTTTGATGAATGGAGTGTTCTCTTTTCATTAGTAGAATTTAATTTTTGGCATGCGCAACTTAACATTTACCAAATTCTGTATCATTGTAGATGTTCATGAGACGCAAGTTGATATGCGAGATGCATATTTCCAAGGAGACTGTGACCTGCTCTCGTCATTATATGGAACTTTACCTGGATGGGCACGAGATATATCTGGAGCAAGAAACGTCCCGCAATTACTTGGATGTTTTGATGTTATGCTCGGATCATAAATCAAGGGAGGTGGCGATTAAATACGTGATGAAGCATATCGTCCAGGAGTTTATATCATTTTGCGCATCATCGAAAGGTTGTCCGGGGGTGGCGTTAGTGCTCGGTCTGATCCAAACACGTTGCGTGGAGAAGCTGATTCCGATTCATCTCAGAAGAGCAATTCTAATCGAGGAGCTCAAATCCAACTTCATTTGTTACATCAATGACAAACTTGAGAGTAATCAGTCGGATAGGTTTCATTTGGTGAAGGAGGAAGAGTTGTTCAGCTATGAGCACCCTTGGCCCCCGATTCAAGGGCACATAACAGAGGTTATACAAGAAAGAGCGAGGCAGTTGCTGTGGGAGAGCGATGTGGAAGAGATTGTGAATGAGACCAGACAGAAGCAAATGCAACCATTGGAGTCATTTCAGCAAGACCTTAGCCAACAATTGGGGTCATTGCAGCAAGGTTTAAACGAAGTGAACAAAGATTTGATTCATTCTTACCCTGAAAATGAGAACATGGTTCCTATGAAAGACTCCAATCGACCTTCATCCAGTTGGGCGAGCACAAGTGAATATCCTGAAATCCAACATGCTTTGGATGATATCCAACATGCTTTGGGAAGGATTGAAAGAAAGGTTGATGGTGTTGATGAAAGGATAAGATTAGGTCTGCAGGGATTGCAGACGAAGATGGAAGAGATACTCTCTCTGCAGCAACAACTGCAGTCAACTATGAGTGATTTTGTGTCTAAAGTAGATAGGATTATCGGGTATACTCAATCGTTTCAGCAGACCAGAACCCCCAAGCGACCTTACATTAGGTTAGATGTTAACATTTTGTATAGGATAAGTGCACATTTGCATGCCGGGAGAACCGTTAGATTACACTTGATGTGTGAGTCGGTGACTGAAATTCACATGGTCAAAGATCAAGAAGGTTTGAAGATACGCGTGGATCTGGATAATCGTGAGTGGATTAGCAAAACCATTGAAATTTCATACAAAGTCTTGTATTATACTGCAAAGGCTGGACTGAGTATGAAGTTTGGGTTGGGCCAAGCGATTCCGGACTGGGCAGATTTAAAATCTGATATTGTTAAACTAGATGGCATTAGCGATGGTGATCGTAGTGCAGTTGTAAAAGCTGGGGAAAGCAAGGAGCTGACACAAGCATGGTTGAGGATTCAGAAACTTCTTGGGGATATTAACTATGCGAAAATCTTCAAGTTGTATCAGGTGAAATACGAGGGAGTAGAATCAGGTGGGCATGCATGGGTGTGCGAGGAGTGCATGAAAGAAGGTATTAGAACTGGGATTTTGTCGGGAAATTGAAGAGGTTAGAATGTCATGATGCAAATGACAAGCATATGTTAAGACACTCATGCAATATGATCCTCTGCAAAATCTTCCTTCAGAGTTTTCACTTGTACAAGTCTTGTATAATCTATGCAATCATGTCAATCGCACATACATGTTTCTGAAGAAGTTCAGATTTTGGCTAAACTATAAAATTTCACTCTGAGGAAAAACTTTTAAGAAAGCCTTGTTGGATGATGGATGATGAGCTCCTTCAATCTAAGAATGGATGAGAAACTAATTGTAAGCATTACTACTGCTAAGCACACTTCCTACATTGATGCCGTGTTATCAGATCTAGAAACCTTCTGTGAAAGGTTGACACAGAGGTCCATCAGATGTACCGATGAATATTTTCATCAAATCTTGATTTTGCCACCATGAGAAGTACGCAAGACATGTTACGCAGAAAGATGATTACTTCATTGCTGCCAATAAGGTACTGATGACATCACAACCTTCCATCACCCTTATCTCTGAACGGATGTGATATGCAAATTTATTGCTCTGCAGGTGCGGAATTACTGTAGTTGCCATTCTAAGATAAATGTTAATACTCACTAGTGAAATCCATACTCGCTCCGAAATGCAGGGGCGAAGTGGAGCTTAAAATATCAACATATGGAGCCTTCAGGTATCACATGCTGGACGGAGTGGAAACTTAAGAAACCATGACTCTCAAAAGTGACATAAATTCTGCTGTTGTTTCGCTTTGATGAGAGAAATTCTTTCTATCTTGACGAAGAGAATAGTGTACATACACTCAATGGCATCCCTGAGACTGGATCAGCAGTTTTTAATGCAGGTCATCTACTATTGACTGCAGACGTGATGATAATAAAGCTTGCATCTGCTAATCCAGAAATGAAGTACCAATGGTATTGTTTTGATGTGATATTTTGTATTTTGTTCCGAATGTCTCTTCCCTTGTCTCGATGCTTCCCATATTTATCTTTCTACTTGAAGGTATTCGAGGAGTCTGCATCGATGACTCCTTGAACATGCAGCAAGAATCATCTACATGCCAGCATATTAGTTTAAGTAAGAATTTCCACTAAAGCAACCTCCACCGGCTCACGGCCGGCCATTCATACGAACACCGGCTGGACAACCTGCTCAGTTAGGAGGTTGGAGTGGTAGCTTCTTTCTCATCGATGCACGCAACGGATCAGTCTTAGAAGGATGGTGTTGATTACAGAGTGACTGGAAAAGAATTTCTCTAGAGTCTGAGTATTCGATGTGACTGATCTACACTTCAGACAAAGTATTATGATGGTCGCTTTGTCGTAAGTTGTCCATAGCCCATGTCGATTCAAAGCCGATCCACACAGTGGATTCTTCTCAGGATCTTGGTTCCTACTGGCAATCCCTCTCATTCTCATCATTCACGGTGAATATAAATAAGCATTTTGAAGACCGCTGGCCTCCTCCTCGCTTCAAACTCAGATGTAATAATCTTCCTCAGTGGCCTGCGACACGCAGAAGAACATCGTCTGGAGATTTATCCGCTTTCACGTAAAAGCATCACTTCTGCTACTTTCTATTCAAAGCATTTTCAAACTGGCGGATGCTTTGGCTGGGTTGTGTTGATTTTACGTTTTAATGTGGAATAACTGCAGCAGGGACACGAAGTCTATTACAGCTGTCTCTCAAGATCCGCGATTACACACATGTCATTGGGAAGTTGATGAACGATCAAAAGAAGCGGTTGCGCACCAATGCGAAATTCCGAGCTTTGGCTTCCCTCGGCTCCTCCCTGAGACTTGTGAGGGACATGCCATGAAGACAAGAGACCAAACCGTCATGGAAAGATGCAACCAAAAAACCATCAGTAAATTACTCATGGAATATCTCTCTGAATTCCTCGCTTGACGTCCAAGGTTTCATTGAAGATTTTCTGCATCAAGCTGTGAATAATTCCATGATAAGTGCAACCCAGCCACCCAGAAAAGTGTTCTAGAGGAGTATCCCAAACGAAACAAAGATGTACGCCGATTACTTGATTACTTGTAATGAGCCAGTTTAGCATTTTAGAAAACGGTGCTTTTCTAGTCTACGTTAAGTCAAACTAAATGTTGGATATCTGCATTGTAGGACCACATCCAGTGTTCAAGTTGTTGACTTTCCTAACCTGGCACTCGCAACACTCGTCATGAATTCAAGCATCGCAGATCTCTTCGGTCAGATTGTTTGGCCTGTGATTGGAAAGACATTGCAGTTTTACGTTGAGGATGGTGCAGAGTTTGTGAGAAAGAGGTAAAGAAGTAAGAATCGGAATGAGTTCTTAGATATGTGACTGCAGCTAGCTAGATTTGTTGCGCCCAATCTGTCGTCTCTGCTGATTTTCGTCTGAACTGGGTGCTCGGTACAATTTGTGAAACAATCAGAACAATTTATCTGCTTTTTCTTGAACTGCTGTCAGGAGTGACAGATTATGTGATTCAAAAGCAGCGTAATTGTCTGCTGTAAACTCTATGCGAATGGGAGTTAATTACAAAAGGATTGATCTAGAGTCTGCAGTAGAAGAGGTCCACAAATTCTTACATGTGCGCACGCTGAGATCAGGTACGGGAAAGTCTTCCTTAGTACACAATTTGAGACATTTCGCTCACTGAAGCTAGGGAATTCTAGGCAATTCTTTTTAATCGTCGTGCCTGGCAAGGCAGTGACGACTCGCAGAAAGGGCAGCAGACCTGTTTCTGGTGGCAAGATTGATGATGTGGTGAGGTTTGAACTGGTGAACAGTCTGTCATCTAAGCACCACGAACTCATTATGCTTTTTCTGTATTCAGGTTCATTCATTTTAAGTGTGCAAATTTAACAAAATTATCCGATCCAACTGGACTCACAGAAAGTCAAAACAAGAAAATGTGTGAAATTATTCGAGAGACGTTTTAAGTCTCCACTATAGCACTTGGAGTAAATCTCTTCTTCAGCACTGCCCACTTCAGTATGTTGCAGGAGGTCATCGACCACCACTTACTGCAGCATTGCGCTATCCTTAAACCCTTCCCGGTAGAAGATCTAGGAAGCGACTCCAGGTTAAAGGAGGTATTGTTCAGGCGAAGATTATGTTGTGAACTTCTGGCTGGGAATTGCAACTGCAGCCGAATTGGAGCAGGGAAGAAATGTGTCCTGAATCCATGTTGTCTTCAAATTTTCTAAAGTATATGGCCTGCCCAAGGGAAGAAATGTGTCCTGAGTCCATGTTTTCTTCAAATTTTCTAAACTAACTTTTACTAGTAGATGGCCTGCCCAAGTAAAATACGATCTGATGCCAAGCTGTCTTCCCAATTTCCATTCCGCCTTCCTTTTTCGAATCGAAATCACCATAATAAGACAAAGGCGTCGGAAATGATTTAGACGGAGGAACAAATCCATCGTTTTTGTGACTGGGTGTTATTGACTTTTTGGCTACTCTACTACAAGGATAGTCCAGGGAGCGAACTGATACCGAACATGGTCGGGAAAATACGGCTCATGGGGCAATTCAAAACTGTGACGATGGTCCGCAGATGTATGGAAAATACGATTCATGTACCATTCTAAACCGTGGCAATCTTCTTCATAGTGTTTATGAAAACAGGTCCTCCGACTCGTGCAGATTGCGCCCGGCCAGCTAGAGTTGTATATGAGTTAGCACCACTTTGAAAACAACTGTATAAAGTGAATTCAGCTGCTGGACTATGACTCGTTCCTGGATTTTTTTCCATTGCCGGGCATCTCCGAGCACCATGTGACGCAAGGTGGTAGAGTTATCTGTACACTGAATAGAGTCACAAGGCCTGCGAAATTCGTTCGCATGCCGTATGGGCTCTGGGAGCAATCCGAGAGGATGCAACAGAGCAACATGCGTCCTGGTCGTGGAGACATCAGGGAGCGGACACGAAGGGGCCTCCGTGAGCTCCTCGGCTGGATTCTCTTCTTACTCCGCTGCCTTCTGTACTGGCACCTCCACGGCCTCTTTAAGTTCAGTTTCTGCAATTGAGATACTGCTCGCGGTGTTGGAAGCGCCATTCCGTGACGAATTCGCCTGCACGGAACCTCCAGAGCGAGAGATGTTCAGCTGTACAGATTCATGTGATGAAGGCATGCATAATGCAGGAGAGCCATGGGTAAGGCGAACGGTGGAATTCGAGCAGGATGCTATGCCTGAAACGGGAACTGCTTTCGAAGACCATGTACGACGTGAAGCTAACGACGCATCGCCGCAGCTGCTGCCTACGAGCTAGGCAGCCATCGTTATTTCTCCAAATGCTTCGCTCCGTGATTGAATCCAGCGTCTGCCTCCAAGCTGGTGATGACCATCTCGATCTCGCCCTTCCAAAAAAAGTATTCTTGTTTACACGTTATATCGTTACAGAATCTTATGGAACAAAAGCTCGACGAGAAGTCGCAAAATGCGCCTCGGAGGTGGAAAATATGAAACAGTCAATTGAACTGTACAGATCAGGTCGAATTAAGAAGGGGGCAGCCGAATATTGTGAGCATTGGTCGTGACATTCGAATGAGTAGTTACTCATTCTCATCCGACTCCCGGACGCAGCGAATCTCTCGAGCCACAGCCAATCGAAGCACGTCGTAGAATGGCCTCAGGAAGCCAGGCCAGTAGGGTTTGAGGCACAGCATCAAAGGGCATGCACCAGCGCGAGTGCGTCGTTTGCATGCTTCCATACAAACAAATTAATACATATATCTAAAAATTTTCAGCCATTTTAAACAAAAATAAAACATTCTTAGAATTTTACTTCTAAGATTGTTTTATTTTCGTAGAAGTACATCTCTGAATACGCTAAATGTATGTAGTGTAATACGGGTATGGCCTGCCTCAAAATATTTTCCTATTACTCCAATCCTACAGACCAGGCACGGATACTCGGCGACGACTTCGAGAATTCTCTTGTTTTGCTCGCTGGTGTGTGGATAAAAGGATCCCTCCCGTCATCCCCCCAAACTCCGAGCCCGCATTCCCCGCCGTCTCCGACTACAGTTGGCAGCCTGGGTACGAGGGCCACGTGGAGGTTCGCTGGGGACCCTAGTATCCTTCGCGGAGGAGGCCGCTGATACTCGCTCCAGTTAAAATTGAAAGCACAGCAAATTAGTTTGAGTCATGTCCATGGTCAAAAGGCATGGTCCATGCACTTATTACACTAAATACATTTAGCATATTCAGATATATACTTTTCAGTATTCAGAAATATATTTACTCGTAAATAAATCATTCTTAGAAATAAAATTGCTAAAAAGTTATAGATATAAATATTAATTTGTTTGTACATACATCTATGAATTCATGGAAATATGCGAACGAGAATCACCCTGGGACTAGAGTTGGAGGCACGTCAAAACATTTTGAGGCATGCCCATGCCCCACTCTCAAGGTCACAAGGCATGCCTGTATTACAATACGTACATTTAGCGTATTTGTTAATGTACTTATAGGGAAGAATGCGAACGAGGCCTACCCTCGCCCTGGGGCATGACCTCTGAGGTTGTGCCTCCAACACTACCTGGACATGCCCTTTGAGGTCGTGCCTCCAGCCCTAGTGACACCTGGGACGAGGTAAAAATGCCCACCGTCGCTTGTCGACAGTGGACTGCGCCTTCGTGTTTTACCCTCATGCTCGCTCGTGTCCTGCCGTCTTCGTGTAGGGCGCGAGTTCGGCAACGGGTCGCTTTTCGGACACCACGCGTGCACTCGCTACCAGCGATCAATGGGTCCTGCTGCCGATGCCACACGATGTGCCCTGTCTTGTTCCTCTGCCACAGCTCGGCCATTCACTTCCCAATTTTGGAGCAACGTAAGAAAGTGAGGCTTAGGCTGGGTGTCCCATAGCTCCCCCAAAGTTCTGCTTCACGGCGCCAAGTGACAGAGAGACTTCCAATTGTTTGCCTTCTTAAACTATCTCGTTTTGTCCCAAGTTGGGACTAAACGAAATTCTGTGAGTTGGGACTCCCCACTCACAGAATTGGATATGTTGAATCACCTCGAAATTGTACTTTACCCGACCGTGAATGGCGACTAGACTTGGAAGAAACCATTTCCGCACAGCTTGAGTAACTAGTTTGTCTTAATGATCTTGTTTGCAGTCCATCAAATTGGATAGTTTCTCACCTGCGCAGCTAGATCCCTGGTCGGGAGCACTACGAGAACTCGAAGAAGACGAATCACCCGAGACGATAACTTTTGGACGATCGGTAATGCGTAAGATAGTGTTTTGCCACTGCCTGTTGGCGAGCTGACACAGAAATCTCGCTCGCTAAAACCAGGGCCCACAGTCTCGTGCCACACGGCCATCTGTACCGGAAACAACGACTGTATTCCTGGCATCGAAAGCATCTTGAAGTCTGCAATGTAACTCGAAACGCACCAAGAATCATCGGCTGGACATCGAGACAAACTTCAAGTGCCGGGCAGATAGAAGATGATTACAAACGGACGGACGGCAAGGCTACCTGGTGTCCAAGCCAGGCACTTGTCTCGGGGAGGTGGCCTTGTAGGCATCAATATCAAGCGGATCACGCATCCATGGCAACACCGGCCCGTGGTCTTGCGACTCTGCTGGAACCAAATTAACATCACGACCCATGATTCTATCCACATCCCTCTCAATTGTGGAAATTCAGGTTCATTCCGAGAAGTATCGTCCGCTCCGAGTGCGTTCAACTCGTCAGTGTTCTCTGTAATTACATGCTCCTCCTCCTCATCCGGAACCCCTAGGGACTTACTGTTAGGCTCCTCTTCATTGATCTGTTTCCAAGGGCCACCATCTGCAATCACATCCACCTTTTCAGACAAATTGTGAAATTATGCATCTCTTTCTCGATCACCGGTTGAGGATATGAATGAATAAAGATAATACTGAGACTGTGCAAAAATGACTTACTTCTCCAGATACGCCTCTTGCGTTAACCAGTTCATCACCTGGTTCCAGATTGCCCCCTCTTCGTATCTTCAACCTCTTTTCTTTCTTTCGTTTCTTCTCCAAATTGGACACTTGAAATTCAACCAGCTCCGGGACACTTCTGTCGATGTCGGCTGCATAATTCTCTTCCGCTCGCTCTATATTATCTTCACTTGTTAAAGTATCGTTCACCTTCCTTTCCTGTTCTTCCGTTCCAGGAGAAGCAGGAGCTTCCAGAGGAAATACATGTTCTTCAGTCGTATCCGAGACTTTCAGCTTCTTGAGCTTTTTGACCTTTATAGCAGAATCAGGAGCTTCCTGGTCAATCAAGGTTGCCAATTCTGCCTTGTGTTTCTGATGTTGCTATCGCTTTTTTCGCCCAGTATGAGGTTCAATTTCGCTCACTGCATTAGATTCTTCCTCAACCACAACCTCTGAGGCTCCCTCCTTGCTTTCATCTCTACTCAGTGCAGGATCAGAATCCTTGTTCGAGACTTTCTCCCTGTCACCTGGAGAAGAACCTTCCGCTTTCTCTCTAAGCGGAAGCAGAGCAGCCCGCTCCCGAGCTCTGGCATTCAAACGATCTAATAGTAATGGAGATCCACGCTTCCGACTTTCTCCCAGCCAGCGCTCCACCTGAAACATCGTTGCCCCCTAAACAGCAGGCAAGAATTTAATCTTCAGGGCAAAATTGCTCGCGCACATCTAGACGAACCATGTGAGAAGAAAACTGAACCCTTCTCACGAATCTCTATCACACAGACGTCCCATACTCTTCTGCGCCAAGCTCCGCAAAATGTCCGCACGTGGAGCACATGAATAATCTGATGTCTACTTCACTGACAATTTCGAGACGTGATCCGAGCGTAATCCGAGCGAAATCGGAAAAAAAGCAGCAACGACATGTTTTCAGATTTCAGAGAGGCGTTGACTGCATCCCTGACACAGGCTCGGGGTTTAGGGTTTAGTTTACAAAGTTCGAAGAAAACGCTACACAAAGGTTAGACATTAACCCCAGCGTGGTAAGTTAAACAAGGTAGCCTAATTAGTGTATGCGTAAATTCCATTCTTCAGATTAAGAGTATTTAAAAAGCGGCGATGATTGAGGGTTAGGGTATCAGACTATATGATCACAAGAATTCGAAACGCACAATTAGTTTGCAGTAGGTCTTGGAGAATCAACGCAGCTGTATGTCATAACTTGTAAAAAATCTGATATTTCATGGATCAAAGATGAATTATTATATATTTGATTGGTGATCATTATTGAACTCGAATTAGTTCACGTCTGAGTTAATTGTCATTATTCGTCGCTTCAGCTCTCCACAATAATCGCTTAATTCCTCGTTTTTTGTGCGCGCTAATATGTTTTAGAGTCAGTTAAAAAATCAAGCCGGCACTATTCGATGTATCCACACTAATTTCTCGCTTGGTCCCTAAAGTTCTCTCTTCCCAATCAATCTGGCAGTCTATAATTGCAAAAAAGAGTACAGTCAAGATGGTTATGCGGGCGATGAGGTTTGTGTCCAGATAAACTACAGAAACTATGAAGAAGTGTTTCGTACCAAAATTGATACGTAGAAGTAGTCTAATTGTAGTTGCAGTTGAAAGTGTGAAAATATACGTCGAAAGGAAGCAAAGGCGCAACTCGAGCAGAGTCGACAACTTAGAAGAACCTTTGCGCGGTCTCTTTCGATCATCGTGGAGTCCAGGGCCGTTTGACTACGCTGCTCTGGAGGTCGAGAAGCGGACGAAAGCTCCGCCGCTACGCCTCTAACCGCGGCTAAATCTGGAGGCGGACACGGGAGCGCCCGGATAGACGGCGAGGCCGACGGGCTCTGACAGGACATCGGAGCACGAAAGTGGGAGCTCTTGGCGGGCGGTGGATCTCCGGGTATCGGAGGAAACGGGCGATCTCTTGGCGGGCGGTGGATATCGGAGGTTCCGGTTATCGGAGGAAAGCCTGGAGGAGTACGATACGGGCGACCGCATTGGTGAGCCGAGTGCAGTTCGGAAGTGATGGCCGATGTTCGTGGAAGCTTCGAATTTAGCAGGAGGAGCGCGGCAGGCGGTTTGGAAAATGATCATTGTAAGAAGAACCTTTCTGCGCGGTCTCTTTCGATCATCGTGGAGTCCAGGGCCCCGGCTCGTCGTAGAACCTACTGTTGGGATGTGACGCGGAGCGAGCGAGAGGCGGAGGTGGAAGGTGGGAATCATTCCCACGTTTTTGTCGATGTGGGAATTTCCGCATTTGCGCATTTCCGCAATTCCGCAGTTGCGAGTTTACCTGCGAGGGTGCATGGTTCCGGGCACGCAGAGGGGAAGGGGTCTTGGCAGTTCGATCCATGAGCGATGGGACTTCGCATCCAAATCACCTCCTCCTGCTGCTGGTCCGCTGCAGGAGCAGGGAAGGGCCGTCCCGGCTCCTTCTCCGTCTAAACGCCACGTAATTCAGGGGACAGGCCTAATAATTTCGGAAAACTGATTTGTGCCTGTCCTTCTCGTCCACCGCAAGCGTAGTCATGCCTCGCCCTCGCCTGTCCAGTCCGGTGCCTCCGTTCTATATCCATTTTACTGTCAATTATGCGATGGATCCGATCCGTTTGGAGGTTATTTGTCGCGGCGTGCACCTTCCGGAATTACGCGTGTAGCATAGGCCAACCGCTGTCAAATAAGGCTGAAGATTTTAGTCTGTTTGCAAGAACTGGCAGGCATTTGATTCTCGATCCTCGGATCGATCGAACGACCTAGAAACCCCACTGTCTTTTTGCAACCCCATTGTCTTTTGGTCGTTACCCGTTCATCGCCTTAACTTACTTTTGCAGATACTCTTCGTGGGAGAATGTTGTATGGCCCTGCTGAAAGATTTTTCCGAGTCTACCTAACAACTGCATGAACGAGATCTAGATTTCCGGTACTGGATACACAAATCTGGATGGAATGATCAACAGTATGTGCGCCTCTGTAGAAATTCAGATCTCGGGAGCCCATTATCATCTTGTGCCATGATCAAAGACTCGGAGTGATGCTTGAATAGATTCCTTGGTCCACCACCAGATCTACAGCATCAACAAGCTCATGGCCAAGGCAAAACCTCCTTTCATATGAAAAGTGAGGGCTTCTCAAACGACATGAAACTCTCATGGCTAACGTTATTGGTCCTCTAATTTCAGACGATTATTTGACTCAATCGTTGGATGTCGCGCAAATCTAGGCAGAGAAACTTTTTCTCTTCTTCCAGAGGCAGGTGGATCCGAAAAGATACATCGTCCTTACGTGGAACATGATTTTCTTTCTCTATGCGAGCACCACATGAAGAAAGAAAAGCACGAACCGCTCGATTGGTGCGGGCTAATGCGAATAAGTCAATTCAAGCTCGTATTTCTACGAGCTTGAATTGTTTTATTCGTCGAGCTTCCGGAGTCCAACTCGCTTGCGTAAATTCATCACGATGAAGTTTCCTACTTTCTGAGCTTTGTTTGACCAGATTTTGGGTTAACGGCCACTCACAATAATTTTTATGCTTTTTCCAGTGCCTTGCGAAAGGAATATTATGCTTGGCGTCGAAGATTTGCAAGGTACGCGTCTGGTTTGAAAGGCTAGCAGACAACACCACTCTGATACAACTTTTAGGTTATGACATTCGAGTTCCAAAAGTCAGACGTTTGATTTGGCATCTACTGAGTTTACACTGAACGTTTGATTTTATTGATCTGTATGCATTCACGGTTATATGAAGCTCAGATCACAAGCAATTGCTGTAAAGACAACCAAAATTCACTTTGGCTTTTCTCATCCGAATAAGGCTGGATATTTTTAAGACATCAAATTATTCTTTTCCGGAGGTTAGTAAAGAGGTTAAGCTGCACTGACTGCTTCTGGGTCCACCTACAACAAGTCCAGATCCAATGCAAAGTTGCAAACTGTTTTCGCTCTCTCTCCGTCCGACTCTGCTCTCATGCACAAGGAGGAGAGAGAAGCGGCGAGAACGGCAAGATCTTTTTGGGAAACGCACTCCTAGAGCCTATTGATCTTGTATGTTGCAGTCTAGGGGCCAAGCAGCTTTTTGGGTGATAACTTTACACGGCTGACTGTCATTGACACTGGAACAGATCTTCAGCCATCTCTTGCTTTCACGAGTGGTGAATTCAATTAAATTTACTGTTTCACCTCCGTTCATTCCGATTTCTGATGTTTCTGATTTTTCGTTCTTGCATGTAAAATATTTGAGCTACTCACTACCACACTTAACAGTATAATGGATCCACTTACACTTGGTCACCACTGAGGCTGGTGCTGGTAAGAAAAAGATGTTGCTATTTCAGAGATCACATTACCTCTGGAATATGTTCACAAACTTCCCAATCGAAAGCGTTTGAGTAGGTCCACTAGACATATGAAGAAAAGAGTGTGGACCATCTCACATGATCAAAGTTCGGTCCACTTTGTACCTTTACATAGATCCCACCCTTTAATTAGCTGACTGTTGGATGCAATGTGCCACCCATCTCGATTCCACGCACCATGCATTACAGACTCAAGCTTTTTTCGTTATAAAGTTCAACTTTCATACTTCCTAACAAATCAAGATTTTTAACAAACCTTTTTCTCGGTTTATGATATGTATCAAATGCCTTATGTACTTTTGCAACGCGGTTTGAAATCTAAGATGCTTCCCTATACTCTTGAAAGAATATTATTAAAGATAGCCTCACTTCTTGCCTTGCTTGATTGTTGAAGTCAAAATAGATGCGATTGCAATGGGTGACTATGTGAAGAAATGGAATCATACCTCAGGAGTGATGTACTTGTGTTGAAATGCAGGAGCAAAAGAGAGAAAAATTGGATAATATATTGGTGAACATTCTATAACAAGTATATGTAGACGAATCTAAAGGTTGTGTATACTCTAAGAACCTAGGTTGTCTTTTACTATCATCATACGGGACACAAAAAGGATGATTTTGTGGAAATGAACTCCACGTGAATGTAACTGAAAGATCGTACTTCTTAAAATAAGAAATAATGTTTTATTTAGTGGTATGGAAATTTCAAAGATCCAAAATTCGACACACATCCGGATGATCCAGTTTTATACATGTATGAAGGAATATGAATGTTCACTCGAGAAAATGGAGAAGTAACTGAAAACTTGAAGATTTGTTGTTATTCTTGTTATTCATGATTGAACGGAGTAGAATTTCTTTGTTTGCTAGTATTGCTACAATTGTCCCAGATTATTAGGAACTTCGTATCGATGACTTCTGTCAAATCGCATGAATAATTCATATAAATTTCTTCGACTCTTGAGCACTCAAAGTCAATGGCAGTAAAATATTGATTCACATACCTTCAATTATAGCAAATATATTAATGTAGGCGAGGGTAGCTGGTTACTCATTTGATTCCGCATCCTGCCGGACGTCTTCTCAACATTGGGCATCTGAAACTCTTGGAAACTGTGTCAAGGAGTGTAGATTATTCATGTAAGGAGAATTTCTTCGTTTCTTGCTGCAGGTAACTCCGTCTTTCACCTTCCATTCTGTTTCTGTTTAGGATTTTGAGTCCTTTGAAGATTGTAAGGGCTCTCTGGATGACGTCGGGATCATGCGAAGGGGGAATCGAAAGATGGAGAAAAAATAGGAGATTTCGTGAGCTGGTTTCGTCCTAGACTTGTCCTGTGTGAGAAGAGACATAAAATCTCGAAATAAGTTGCCGTTGATATCCAGTCTCCACCAGAAGAATGAAGAGGTCCTTTACAGTGCTTCAGTGCTTCCGTGCTTCAGTTTGCTGTAAACATGCATTGACCGAAAAAGTTTGGGAATTCGCACTAGGTGCATG